GTGAATAGAGTAAGAATTAAGTGAATATTGTATGAATTAAGTGAATAGAGTAAGAATTAAGTGAATATTGTATGAATTAAGTGAATAGAGTAAGAATTAAGTGAATAGAGTAAGAATTAAGTGAATATTGTATGAATTAAGTGAATAGAGTAAGAATTAAGTGAATATTGTATGAATTAAGTGAATAGAGTAAGAATTAAGTGAATATTGTATGAATTAAGTGAATAGAGTAAGAATTAAGTGAATAGAGTAAGAATTAAGTGAATATTGTATGAATTAAGTGAATAGAGTAAGAATTAAGTGAATATTGTATGAATTAAGTGAATAGAGTAAGAATTAAGTGAATATTGTAAGAATTAAGTGAATAGAGTAAGAATTAAGTGAATAGAGTAAGAATTAAGTGAATAGAGTAAGAATTAAGTGAATAGAGTAAGAATTAAGTGAATAGAGTAAGAATTAAGTGAATATTGTATGAATTAAGTGAATAGAGTAAGAATTAAGTGAATATTGTAAGAATTAAGTGAATATTGTAAGAATTAAGTGAAACATTACAGTTTGGGTTGTTCTAGAGGTGATTTTACCTAAAAAAAATTTTTCAATACGTTTTATTTCTTGTAGACTGAATAGTATAAGAATTTAATGATAAGAAGCCGTTATAGTACTGTTTTTAAGCTTCCACCGCTTAGCTCTGAACAAAGATATAAAAAAAAAACTAATCACAAAGCTGACATGTTCATGTACTCAAAATTGAAGAAATTTTGACTTGCTTTCTAGCAAAAGTGTGTTGGAGTTCGAATCTGTGATTATTTTTTTGATATCTTTGTTCAGAGCTAAGCGGTGGAAGCTTAAGAACAATAGAACAATACATTAAGAACAGTTCGTTGGAAGCGGTTATATTGGGTTGGTGGAAAAGTCCTTTCGGATTTTTTGGGAGAGTACCTTAAATTTGTCGAATTTTGACGTTTTATAGCTGATCCTAAAGCTGAATTCAAGACGGATCGATTGGTAAAAACCGTTTTGAGATATCTCTTTTCTAAAAGTTTTTACAACTACTTTAGTAAAGGGCGGCAGAGCCAAAAAATGGCTGTTTTCACGTTTCGTTAGTTTTCCGTGCAGAAACCTAGGCTAAAAACATGTGTTTCGTGATCAGCGTCAAAAATAACCCTTAGACACAAATTTTCAGAAGCTTAGCAAAAAAAAAACAAGAAAAACGAAGGAAAATCGCGAAAAGCGGTGAAAAGGCTATTGATCTAAGGGTCGCTGGTTCGACTTCCACCGGTGACAATATTTTTCAAAAATTTTTTGCTAAGGTTCTGAAAATTTGTGTCTAAGGGTTATTTTTGACGCTGATCACGAAACACATGTTTTTAGCCTAGGTTTCTGCACGGAAAACTAACGAAACGTGAAAACAGCCATTTTTTGGCTCCTTTTTGCCCTTTACTAAAATCGCTGTAAAAACTTTTAGAAAAGAGATATCTCAAAACGGTTTTTACCAATCGATCCGTCTTGAATTCAGCTTTAGGATCAGCTATAAAACGTCAAAATTCGACAAATTTAAGGTACTCTTCCAAAAAATCCGAAAGGACTTTTCCACCAACCCAATAGTATACTTCGATTCCTAGATTAGTTTTTCTTTGTTTTATTCAAGTGTCAAGTCTTTATAGCTCTAAAAAGGGTAAAAAGCCGTCAAATAGAAACAAAAATGAATTGAGAAATAGAAACGGGATCAAGAAAAACATTAGAAAAACTGTGCTGACATAAGAAATTAGTTAAGACTAGGGCAGATCAAAAGATCTTGCGCAGCCTGGAGTCGAACCTTCGACCCTCTGCTTACCGGGTAACTGTGTTAACCATCACACCACAAGAGGCACTTAACTGCCTGTCCAAAATAACGCTTTTCAGGCCCGGGTTGCTCGTCTTTTGGCGGCGCTTTTGAGGAGATGGGCCCATTCTACATCAATTTCGACGTTCAAACCCTTTTCGAGAATAAATACTCGTGGAATTCGGTTTCAAATTTAAATCGAGAAATGATTAAAGGTTTAGAAAGCTAATATTCTCTTCTTGGAGTCACCAATCGGGGTCGGTTTCTCGTATGACACGACGAATGTCGACTACTCGGTGGCAAATGACACACAATCGGCCGGGCAAAACTATCAAGCTTTGAAGGATTTCTTCACTACGTGAGAGAATGTTTAGACAATCAATAGCCAAGAATATAAAACTCTAACTGATTATTAAACATAGCTGATCTCAGGGTTCAACCAAAATACGCGGATCGCTCATTTTTCCTGTCGGGCGAATCGTACGCGGGAGTTTACATCCCGATGCTCAGCGCTCGTCTCACCGAGGGGATCATCTCAAACGATTTTCCGAATAAAAACTTTCAGGTAAGAAACTAAAATGGGAATTAATAAGCGTTGAGCTTACAATTAAGATAAGATTAAAGAAAATTGGGCTTAATTAACTGAATCTGATTGAAAAGCATTTCAGTCTACCGTAATTATTCGCGCGCCCCAATAATGACGGGGTATTGCCGCGTAGTCTAACTTTAAACGATCCGTTCTCTGCACTGCTTTATGCTACAATATGCACTTTGATTTCAAACGATAGCCCTTGAAATCTAGTAATGACGGGGTATTGCCGCGTAGTCTAACTTTAAACGCTCCGTTCTATGCACTGCTGTCGGGCGAATCGTATGATTGAAAAGCATTTCCGTTTACCGTAATTATTCGCACCCCCCCAATAATGACGGGGTATTGCCGCGTAGTCTAACTTTTACCGCTCCGTTCTCTGCACTACTTTATGCTACAATATGCGCTTTGATGTCAAAAGATAGCTCTTGAAATCTAGGGAGCAGCGATTGGAAACGGTTTCATGCACGTGCCGAAGTTGTTCAACTCGCTTGTCCTTTGGAGTGTTTATCACGGGAAAGTTTCGCTCAAGTGAGTCAAAGCCATCATTTAATATTAAACATTGAAGACAGTTCTCGTTATTTTTCAATTCACATATGAATTTACTTGTCAATGAGAAAAAGGCATTGTTTACAACAAGCAAACAAAGAGAACAAGTTGTTTTTTAGTGGAAAAATCATTTCCAAATCGAAATTATCATTAAATTTAAAGATATATAAGATAAGATTAAAGAAAATTTGGCCTAATTGACTGATTTGATTGAAAAGCATTTCAGTTTACCGTAATTATTCGCACCCCCCAATAATGACGGGGTATTGCCGCGTAGTCTAACTTTAAACGCTCCGTTCTCTGCACTGCTTTATGCTACAATATGCACTTTGATTTCAAACGATAGCCCTTGAAATCTAGTAATGACGGGGTATTGCCGCGTAGTCTAACTTTAAACGCACCGTTCTATGCACTGCTGTCGGGCGAATCGTATGATTGAAAAGCATTTCAGTCTACCGTTATTATTCGCACCCCCCAATAATGACGGGGTATTGCCGCGTAGTCTAACTTTAAACGCTCCGTTCTCTGCACTGCTTTATGCTACAATATGCGCTTTGATTTCAAAAGATAGCTCTTGAAATCTAGTATATTTTATGATATCAAAAACATAATTGATAGATATAGAAGAATCTTCTTTTCTTTCAGTGATTGGGATTACATGAAACAAACGTGCACAAAGGGATCCCAGGCTTTATACGACGTGGACAACTACGATTTTCAGCAATATCTCACATCGAAAGATGGAAACGGAATGGATTTCGAAAGCGACAAGTCGAAATGCGGAGATTTGGTAAATGTTTGAAATTTTCTAGATTAAACCCAAGCTTCAGGTGATGAAAGCGATCAGTGTGCCCGATCCGTGAGTTATTCAGCGTTCCAGATATTTTTGTCTGATTTCAATTTTAGAAACGATGCCTACAACTACTATCAAGATTGCTATAATCCCGACTTTTCGAATTGGACTGAGCCGCCGAGTAAGGCTGACTGGCTGTAGTGCTCGTTGTGCTCAAAAAATGAAAACACACTCTTTCTGGTGTACGGAAGTCTTTTCTTTTGGTCAAAGGCAAGAATCCAGTGCACGAGAAGCGTTGTGTTTCCATTTTTGCAGCACAAAGTGCAACAACAAGAACGATCTAGAGGTGTAGAAAATTCCCAAAAAAAAGAACTTTTAGTGGACGAGCAATACCCAGCTCTCAAGCATCGGATCCGAAAGCGAAGCATCGTCAACTCGAATCCGTCGATTAACACCGCGGTCTGTGACCTTTAATGTACCGTATTTTTTCGAATAGAAGACCGGGTAAAGAGTATCATCGCGTACTCCTGCGTAGCAGCCCTTTTTAAAATTTCTTTTCTGCATAAAAGCTTTCAATGAAGTGCTATAGGGCTGGAAAATGACTCAAAAATACCACATGAGCTAACAGATTTTTGAGCCATTTTCCATCTATAGCTCTATAGCACTTGATTGCAAGCTTTTATGCAGAAAAGAAATTTTAAAAAGGGCTGCTACGCAGGAGTACGCGATGATACTCTTTACCCGGTCTTCTATTCGAAGAAATACGGTAGTTATTTATGCAGATAAATTTTTCTGTCAAAAGCCGCATTTTGCGTTTTGTCAACTTGCGAAAACTACTATAATCCTCTAATTTTTTTTGTGTTTAGTCTTATTTTGTAAAGATTCAAAAAAAGATAGCTGAAATTTATCAAAAATCGATCAAACTCGAGCAGATGGCAGCAGATTTCGCGAATTGACACTTTAAAAAAAAAACGCATTACATTGTCCACTTTATTCTAGACCCTATTCAACTACGAATCCTCGGACACTCAACTCGGGTATCCCTGTTGGAATTGGATGGCCGTGCGGAAATACGCGAATCGTCCCGATGTACAAAAGGTAAATGATTTGAAATCAAAAAAAAAACATCTTTCAAATCCCCTTTCAAATTTTAGGCTCTGCACATCGACGAAGCTTGGCAGAGGGCGGGCATCAATGAAAGCTCTAGGAATTGGCACATGTGCAAGTAAGTCAACCTATCAATCAATCATACTCTGAATTTAATTTTAAAAGATTGTTGAATTTTCAGTGGTCCTCTTTATGAACAATACAAAATCACTTTTCCGGATCAGCAACAATTTTTCGATACAGTTTTACAAAAAACACAGGTAAAAGATTGTTGGCTAAAGCCTTTTATCAAAATTCTGTTTTAGAATCCAAATTTCCGTTTCTTGATCTACAATGGCGATGTGGATACGGTTTGCAATTATCTTGGTGATGCGTGGTTTGCACGAAAAGTGGCCAAAGATAATGGATTTGATGTGAGCGAGAAGTACAGTAGTGTAAAGATTCACTGAAATCTTTTCCAGACAACTGCCGACATCGTTCCATGGGCCTATCAAACCCAGTTGGCCGGTTTCCTTCAACGATATCAAAGAGACAAAGACAATGTGATGATCGATGTGCTCACCGTGAAGGTAAACTTCATAATAACTCAGTTAGCTTAAAAGCTTCAGGGCGCTGGACACATGGTGCCAAATGATCGACCAGCTCAATCATTACAGATGATCAACAACTTCATGGCATCCACTGGGTAAGAATAGATCAACAACAAAGTGTCAACCATCTGTTTAGACCCAATTACAATTCAACCGATAACGCCGATCCGACCCCCAACTTGGCCAATTTCAATCCAAATCTTCAAAAAACCTCATCGGCGCCGCCCATCCGAATTTCACTTTTGTTTTTGCTTCCAATTTTGCAATTATTTATCTGCTAAAAGTTTATACTATTGTATTCAACACTGGTAAACATTACAATCATCACAAGATAAGCAAAAACATAGTAAAGTGAATCGACATTTTGGCTTATCAACGGTAAGTGACTAAAAAGACCACAAATTTGGAATATATTCATAACAAATATAAAACAAAATATAGCTATAAACTTTACAAAATGAAACGTGAATTAACAAAGGGGTTTAATCGGAAAATAGTTCACCATCACCGTCGCCATTATCGACGTCCGATGAGAGAAATGAAGCATCGGGTAAAGGTCTCGAATAACCACCAAAGAAGAGAACCTCATTTCGAGTAATACAATCTGAAAAGAACAAAATTTTTACCAACTAACTTTACTGGTTAGCCAGACTAGTCTAGTTTGAAAAACATAAATTACCGTATCCACAAGTTATTGTACCTCTACTTTCATATTACATAGAAAGTTAGCTATTTTTACAGTCACGATTATCTATACAACTAACTGCAACCCACCCAATATATATTTCTCGTTGACTAGTGTCACTAATGGTTGAGTCTGTGGAGGCGGTCTCGGTGGAACTACTTCTTCAGGGCAAACAATCAGATCAGCTTTATCAATAAGTGTTACAATCTAAAAACAGTATTCAAGATAATCTATATTCTCTCACTATTCCTCCCGATTTGCGAATCAACACGCGTAAATCAGCAGCTAACGGCTTTGTGCACTTGTCGTGAACAAAAATCGATCCCAACGGTCTCAACAATTTGCACACACCAGATACTAGGTCTCGACGACGGTACTAAAACAAATCCATTTTTGCTTTTCATAAAGTCTTTATGCAATTAAAAAAGGTAAAATATCAGCATAGTTACCTCAACAAGATCCTCCCAATCTTCGTACACGTACTTTCGATAATTGACGAGTTTCCCGAGTGCAGCAGAATCTTCGAGCTACAAAAATACCCAGGCATTTCAAAAAGAAATTTACCCATTTCGGCGTTACTATCGGTATCTCATCCACAACGGCTTGAAGAACGGCTAGTGTGCGGGCGCCAGATCCAGAAATTACACATCTAAAAGATTTCATAAAGTGGTTCCCAATTTGGAAAATAAAGTTCACTGCCACTTATTAGGACCGTCTACAATATACATTTCCTTCCTGAATGCCTACCTTGTTTCACGAGTGACCGACTTCGAGAAGCTCAAACCAATTGTGTCCAACAATGGCTTCAGTGCAGCTTCTTGTCTGAACGCTACAGATTAACAAAATTGTTATAAAAAAACAAAATTATCTACCGATTTCAATCTCAAATGGCAAATGAATACCTTTTGTTTGCGAGTCCCGTGAAGACAATTTTTGTCGCTTTGGCTCGTTGTGCTAGTGGTGAAACGAATTCTTCGGAAGATGATGTACCCAATACACGGTTGATGAACGATGAAGCCGTGTCTAAATCAAAGTAGGCAATAAATTGGCATAATTATATGTATGTGAATAAATATCAATTGTTTTTCGTGCTTTTGATTAAGAGTCAAAGAAATTACGAACCAATTAGAGGCGTCAGTCGAGGACGATCACAGAGTTCGGCTGAACTTTGGTTACCTGTCAAATTTGAATTTATTGACAAACGAGGCCGTCGAACGTTATTCTGCTTGCCCCGTAGGCGAAGTTTCTAAAGTAGTCAATTGCTTTAATTTTATCGACATAAATCACAAACATTTCGGAATCGTATAAAGCTTTGGGTTCGTCCAACATTTAAAGAGTTTGACTTTCGTTGATCGTTTGAGATTGCAATTCCAGAAAGAGCCTAGTACGAAGAAATTAGCAGAAAGAACACAAATAAACCTGAGACAGATGTGCAATAGGGCTCGAATCCCTTCTTGGTGGAGCTCTCTTGCGATTTCGAGATTTTTTTTGCATCGGTACATTCTTCGGTTTTTGCTCCGTAACTTTTAGAAGACCAGAGACTGCCAGCTTTTCGTCTGAAAAAAAATAAATTATGCACTAAACTTGTCGGCTCACTCAAGTTGGCCTGTTGCTGTTTTGCCGCCAAAGATTGAGAATCTCGAAATTGAAGAGAAAACCCTCCAATAGATCGCCGTCGTTTTACCTTAACGAGTACAATTTGTGAAGTTTAGAAAAAAACCACCTCCCTATCGACAAAAATCCTTCCAACTTGCGAGGCAACCACAGTCTCTCTTGGGCGTACATATTTTGGTCCACGTTTCACAGGCACTTTTCCTTTCTTTGGTGCTGGTTTTGAGAACTGCCCTAGAGCGGAATTAGGTTTCAAAAGAATTTAAACATTCAAACCTTTTTGTACATTATCAATGTCTTTACGCATAAACGAGTTGTGAGCTGGGGAGGCATTTTGATGTTCGAAAAGGTCATGATTTTCCGACTGATGGCTGCTGTTCAATGAACTGACGCCTTGTGGCAACAATCTAGAGCAGCATCTAGCTCCGTGACCATGCGAATCTATAATATTTTAGAGGTGATTTTTATAAGTGTTTCCTATACCGCAGCGGAGCAACTGATCGAGCCTTTGTTGAAGATTTAATTTGCCGATTAGTGCCAAAAGTTCCGAAGCATTCATAGATCGTTCCAATTTTTGCAATGCAGGAGAGCTCTGAAGTGTTCTATCAACTAAGTTATTAATGGGTTGAGAAACCTGATCGAAAATGCGTTGCAATTCGCTTTCCGCGGAACTTCGGCGTGGTTGAACTGACAGTGCCACTCTAAAAACAATTTTTCTTTTAAATAATTAAAGAATTTTTGAAAATGTCTTAGCATTACCTAGCTTGTTCGTTCGCATCCGGAGATAGGTCGATAACTTCTGGTTCTTGGGAGTTATGCTCATGGCTAGATATACTGATTAATTGTATATAAACTTTAAAATTACTTGAGAAATGAAACTGAATGGCGAATTTTATCTCTCGTCGGGCCATCAACAATGGCGCTAATCGAATATGGCTTTTCATCCCGTCGATAGCCATCTGCAAATGAACTAAAAAAAAACGTTTTATTTCTGATAAAACAAAAAACAAACTCTTCGATCCAGCTTGGAGCAACTATTTCGAGACCAAGGTGGATCCCCATTGCAATCACCTAAAATTGGTATGAAGAATAAAAGCTAAAAATCATCGAATTACATTTTAGCGATTAAAAACATGTCAAATACCTGATTATCTCCACCACAACCAAAAACTACGTGAGTAACTTGCGATTGCAGACTTGAAGCCAGCTGTCCACCTAAAACTTCGCCATTATAACAAAAGTCAAGACAGAAATATCAGACAAATTTTTTGAAAAACTTGCCCATATCACGCACTAGCTTTCGTAGTCTAGCTGCATATTCGGTGCAACAATGAAGCTCCACAAATACTCTGCACCCTAAAAAATGTTATCTTTCTTTCAAACAATTCAAAAACCAACCTCTTAAAATAAGAGTTTTAGGATTGTTTGTCGAAAGTTCAAGAAAATCTTTTCGATACGGCGGCAATCGGTTTTTGCGGTGACACACATTGCTAGATACCAAAGAATCAACCTATAATTATTTAGTAATGTAATTTTATTGTTTGCACAAAGCTTACATCAGAGCAAAGTTCGCCAAATGCTTTATCGCTGGAATCCACAAATGCCGATCTAAAGCGAATATTTAGACAAGATCAATGAAACTAACACCAGCCTCTCATTTAAAGGTGTACAATTAATATGACTCAATGATCGTTGCTCGTTTTCATCGTCCAAACTAGATTTGTCAAACATTTCCAAACTCTGATCTCTAAAGATGTCGATAACTCATCAGTAAAAATAAATAAAATACCTTGTAGGTGGCACAATGGAGCTAACATCTTGTAAAAAAGGTAAGGTTACATCTAAATATGGTACATCTTGAAGATGAAGCCCATAAAATACAAACTATTGAAAGAAGTGATCGGTTGGAGAACCTGTCGACGCATCTCCGCAGAATCAGCCTCCTCGCAAATGATTTCGCAATCGTCAGAGGTGGAAACATCTCCGAAAACATTTGTAATGTCGAGTGTTCTGGCTGTAAAGGAAGTTCTCCTCGGCATAGAGCTGGTCGATTGCTAAAGAGCAACAAATTGAAAGCCTATATAATGATTCCTACTTCCTCGTCAATTTCAAATGTTCTCTTCGATATGGGGCTAGAGGATTCCTAAAGAGCATTACTTGAACTATATAATGGACCCTACTTCTTCATCAATTTCGGCTATCACATTCGACCGACTCGAATACTTCGAAATCCGCGAAGTAAAGGGGCTTTTTGACGAGCGTCTAAACCCATGCTTATTAACTATACAATAAACACTGGAGATTACCGTAGTACATGTTGTGAAAATTTCTGTTGCATCTCATTTTCTCGTAGTAAAGACAGCTCGTTGATAAATGATGATTCGTCCAGATAGTCGATCACTCTCGATTCGCTATCGGAAGAACCTCTATAGTAAGTGAGAGTAAACATGTTTTCAAGCCCGAACTTACTGAATCGAGCTGATGCTCAAATCGGGAAAGTCATAGCCGACCCGCGGTGCACTTCGACGCGTTCTTTGTGGCATCTGAAAAAACTTAGATTAGAGCACAAATAAATAAATGCGGCGCGATTGAATGCGCAAAAATTGAACAAGGCTTTTAAATAAACAAATTTGCAAACGTTAAAACATTTTTACACCACTTTCTATGAATAAACTTGAGAAATTTCACATATACAATGATTTATTTTAAATCTAAAAACATTTCAATAGATTTAAATGAGAGCATGTTGATTCTAAAACTTCAAAAACATTTAAGTCTACCAACTTTTTGAAAAAGATGTACTACCTAGATAAAAGCAATAGATTCATAAGAAAAATAAAGAATAAGTGTACCCGAATAGAGAAAGACATTATAATACAAAGAAATCGAAAATGTTTATCAAAGGTCCAATTGTGGAGTTGAGAGGCTCGTAGATTCAAATCTTTAATGGATTCTTTAATTAAACCTTTAATGAATGGCTAATATCGTAACCAGAAATTTACCTTCTGCAAAGTGTTTCGAGTGCCCGTTGTCGTGAATTGGGTGTTTTGGACAGAAGATCAGCGGCAAAGTCCACAAGTGCTGAGGAATCCGAGGCACTTGGTTGTTTTCTTCTTGAATCTAAAGAAGAAACTCTTAATTAGAATAAGACAAACGGCCGCAGCTTAATAATTGTGCATACTCCCCTAAAACAACTTTCTGAAATAGGTAAGTAAAATTCACAACAACTTACCACAAAATGGATGCTCGAGCAATTCTTTAATCGAGGCTCGTCGCCGAGGATCTCGGACTAAGCACCACTTCATCGTCTCAACCAGCAACGAATCATGGTGTGGAGGAAAGTCAATTTCCACTTTTGGACTAAATAAAGTGAGGTCAGGAAATTCATTGTAACCCCCTACTTGCAAATCGCTTTAATTTTCTCCGATGTCACTCGATATTTTTGAAAGGGTGTCCTGCCATAAACAATTGCATATAAGATACAACCAAGTGACCATACATCAACCTAAACAAAAATACAAAAGGATTGTCATGAATTTCAAACTTTAGCCGTTGTTTCGCCCGTTGATTGCAACATTTCTGGGGCCATGTAACTCGGGGTTCCAAGTATCACAGATGATTGCAGCGAATCCTGAGAAAAGTTTAGTGATAGTGTGATAAACACAAAAGCCAACCTGATTCTTGGGCATTTGTGTGGAAATCCCAAAGTCGATTAATTTTAAATCTCCACCGACGAGCAGAAAATTTGCAGGCTTCAAATCCTTGTGAATGATCCCTAAAAACTGTTTACTCGCGAAATCCCATTTAAGAAACCTTTTTCGTGAATGGTTTGAACACAGAGCAGCATTTCTTCCCAATAAAAATGAATAAACGTGGCATTAATGGCCTTACTTCTGTGCCTGTAAATAACAAGTACAACTAATTAAATAATGACTGCACCGCTCTTTGATGAATGTCCCAAAATCGGTAGCGCCTTTTTCCAGTACAATGTATAGCAGTTGTTGCTCATACATAAACTCACTAAATTTTAAATCTAAAATAGACATGAATGGAAAAAAATCACTGATCAAAAAGATGAATCACACGTCGGCAATCTTTCAACTCTTCCAATATGGCTATCTCATTTGTGTAGGCTTCAATGACCTTAAGCAGAAAAATCTACCGATAAGCATAGCGCCACTAACCCCATGATCTTCATTTAGAGACACAATCTTTATCGCAACTTCTTGTTTTGTCGCCATGTTGGCAGCTGACCAAACCACCGAGCTGCCACCTTTTCCCACGATCTGAAACTCCACAATTGAGAAAATGATAAAAAAAAACAAACATTGTCTTTGCGAAATAACTGCCCATTTATCGTGAGCAACTCATTAACATCGATGAACTGATATAAAGAAGTACTCCTTTCAATGGCACCTCGCGATTCGTTTGCACGATTTCGATCCTGGGAATGTTTCTTTGTTTTAAAGCAAAATCACTTCTACTTACCTTGACTTTTATTCGCGTATCACTTAGACATCGAGAAATATTTTGCTTGGCTGGGGCTGGAAGAGAAATATTCGATCTCAAAATATAGATAATAAATGTAATCCGGTTTTAATCACTTTTTATTCTCAACGTTGTCGATATCCGTGCGCTCTTCAACAATTACATCGTGTGCTTTGTGGCTGATCGAGGATTTCTAAAGTCAGCAATTTGTAATAAGAACTCTGAAATAAACGTTTTTTGGCTCGATGATGCTTCTGCTAAAATTGCCCGCCGATGAATGGAGACTATCATATGTTGAATCAATCAAGTACTGAAGAATGAAAGTTATAAAAAGCCTTAAACAGACATACCGAGTTAGACTGAACTATCGACGAGTGATGTTCATCGTTTAAATGGCTTGCTTCAATAGCCAGAATCTCATCTCCTTCGCAACCTAAAAAGAAGATTATTTGCTATTGAGTTGGTAGTTTTTAATTCTTACTTTTTGATGCATTGGCGGCTCGTAAGGCGGCATTCGCACCTTTTTTAGCCTCGATCAACTCCGACAAGCTTGGCATCAACTAAATCAAACACATCAGTGAACAAAAAATGCAGAATAGAGACAGAGTTGAGGAGTAAATACATTTAAAAAAAGCAAAATTTCCCTTTACATTTATACTCAATCGAAAAACACAAGAACCAATTAAATTAGAGCATTTCTCCAGTTTTCCACAACAAATTCAAAAGATTAGTTAAGTATCATTAGCATTAGCAATTTTGGAACCACGCATTTTTCAATTATGCTCCAAGTAGCAACGTAAACTGTATCACTCGTCGCTCTCCGGTCAAAACGGGTAAAAACCAAATCTGATAAGTAAGAAGTCTACCTGGCATTTTCTATAAAAATTCATCGATTTTTTGAAAAAGTGATGTTGCAAGACTTTTGCTCGATATTGTAGACTACGAAAGAAGATCAATCGTTTGCATAAAAGGAATCAAACAAACAATAAGCCATTTATTTCAAAGCACCAAATTTCACTAGTAATTTTTTCCGGTTATTCGTTCAGCAATTCGAATCCCTTCTTTTTCGCTGCAAACTCAAATTGCCAATTTGCCGAGTCAACTAAAATAATCAATAGTCTGTGAAACCAATAATAAAAAGACCTTTTCAACTTCACTGATGTTTGATGTAGATGCAGATGGAGATGGAGAATGAACCGGGTCAGAAGCAATAGCCCTAAAATAAAAAAAATCAACATTTCAAAAAAGATCAACAGACCATTCCAATGAATCTCGTCCGGAGAGTCTAGGCGGTTTAAAAATTGAAGATCTAAAAAGTTGCAATCCTACGGATGAAATGCTAAATCTACCTTTGGCAAGCCCGAGTAAGCAATGGTGAATTCTGGAGCACTTCCAAGTTGAGTACGACTGGCCCTGCCGTCGCCTTCAAATTTTACTAAATAACAAAACAAATGTGCTCCTTACTTTTGGCGTTTTTTTCAGAGATGCCATCAGTGTAGTAAGCGATTCACAAGAGTCATTTTCCTCAATCTGTGTTTCTAAAAGCAAAAAAACAAGACTTTGAACCACTCAAGTAATTTAACCTTCAACCATTCGCTCTCGACGCATCTCAATGGCGTGGCGAAACCAATTTGGAGAGCAACAAAATAACAACCATTAAAAAAATATTGTTTTAGCGTTACCTTTCACGTCGATCCGAAACAGTGTCTTCGATCAGGGGCTCATCTAAAACAAACACCTAAATCTGGCAAAATCCATTTCAAACCATCTTGGATTCGAGAAAACGATGAAAAGGCATCGGATACAACATTCGAATCGTAGCTTGTATTGTTGTTTAGGCTAGTCTCCGAGCGCGGAGTTTTTACTACAACTTTGATCTCTGAGTCACACGTTGTGCCACCAATCGTTTCACAACCATCGAATTCACAAAGAGGTGCCAAGATTTTTCCTTGAACATCTAAAAAGAACAAATGTAAACCTCTCCCAAAACTTTACCATCAGTAAACGAATCCGCATATTGGTATCTTAATCTACGATTTGGTGTGACAAATTCCATAGAATCTCGCTAAATTAAAAACTCTTTAGAAACGGGTTAACAACTTACCGGCAGCAAAGTAACAGGAATATGCTCCTCGAACACAGAAGATTCATCGCTAACGGTGGGTGGTGAATAAACGGGTCTAATTGGGGACAGACAAGCGACCGATGTGACAACCTAAAATGCAACTAAATTTCCCAGCAAAAACATTAGAGCTTTTAATATAGAATTAAGTTAATTCAAAAGAAACCTCAGATTTGACGTTTGAAATCAATGTTTTGATGGGAGTTACAGGAGAAACATCGTTCATTTGGCCGTTGATTGGCTTTTCATCTTGAGACACATCGCATCCCCGAGTGCAGCACTTTCCTAGCGATTTCCATGCCGGTCCATTATTCAAATTGGCCAGTTGATTCTTGTTGGCAAACATGTGAGCCAGAGCGTCCAACTAAAAAATGAAAATTATAATCATTAGTCAACAACAAACTTTCCACAACGTTTTGATGTTGTTATCTTGCTTTGCTGTTGCAATCGAGTTGCTTTTATCCTAAACTCAAAACTTATCAACAAAATTATGAATAATGAACAACAAAATTGAATAAACTCAAACCTTGGCATCAAAAGCGGGCTTTGGAGTCCAATCTCGTGATGTCACAGATCGACTAATTCTCGGCTTTTTCTCATATAGTTCTTCATGAAATGGATCTAAAAAGAGGTGATTATAAAAAACAACCATGCTTACCATTTGAGGACAATGATTTGATGAGATGCGGGGAAGTGGCAACTAACAGTTCGCGCAGCGATGTGCTCGAACGCACCGGTTCTCGTGGAAGCAACAAATCTAAAAACAAAGTTAAACACCAAATGTAATTAGATGAGATTTCACTTTCATTCTTTTCATTTTCATAAAATATAAAAACCACCATTTGGAAAGAGGTCGTGAACGCTGATGGGAGCAATTAATGCTCGACTCGAAACTTTTCTTTCACAAATCAACTTCTTGTCGCGATTCTTTTTAAAACGGATTCGTCCCCTCAAATTGGCAGCGATGGCCAAAATGCGAAGTCGACGAAGACGCTCCTTGATTGGATTCTAAAAAACGAACGTTCCTTTCAACGAAAGTTGGCTCCACAAAGCATAACAAAGTTTAAAGGTAACACTGTTTGTTTACAGCTTATTTCCAAGTGTATCAAGGATCAAAAAAGCATTGGCATTTTCTAATTGCTCAAACAAAAAGCAAATGGTCTCTTTTAATAGTTTTTCATGAATATAGCATGTAACATTCCCTCTATATTCATGACTACATGACTCTATATTCTGTATATTCATGAGAAACCATGAAAAGAGGCCATTTGCTTTTTGTTTGAGCAATTAGAAAATGCCAATACATCAAAGCAACAAGTAGCAATGTTGAGCAAGGCTCAACAAATGAATGAACACATTGCAATTTAGCGAAACAAATGAATTAACAGGATGCTTTTCAATAAACTGTTCAAAACTTGCATCTGTTAGACCGAAAAGTGCAACAAGAAAGCAAAAAAAAAACTCTCACCCTTGCAGGGATTCGTGGAATTGTCATAAGCATGGTCCTTGAAGAAATGAAAAAGAAGGCAATTGCACAGAGAATAAAAGTGTTATGAAAAATTTTCTTCGTTATTTTCGATTTAAACAAGGATTAAATGCACATTTGCAAATTAACATGCTAATTTAAAATTTTGGTGTGCAAATTTATCGAAATTTATTTAACGGCGTGATCAAAGCGTCATTGAGAAGGATATGGGTTTACGAACGGCAAACGGAGGTTCAATCGGGGTTTCCGGGACTTTTGGCACCAGCGGAAAGTTGGGCACTTTCGGTATCATAGAGCTCACATGATTCGAAAAAGCACTTTTCATGGTAGAAAAGTTTCGATCGAGATTAGGAACAAGTTCTGTATTTTCATGGTTTCGCTTCAAGTTGTTCCACTGAACAATTAGAGCTTTTCTTTTGGTATTTGTTGGTGAAGGGGTGGGGAGGTTGAAACGCCGGAAGGGTACGCTGAATCGTGGTGCTGGAATCACTGAAGCTCGAGTTCTAAATTTTAAAGCTTTAACTAGTTTTGAGCATAAATCTAGTTCTGTACAAGCCTGAATATCACTTTGAATAAGGCGTTTTCTAAAATGTGGCAAACTATCGTAATCGTGTCTCTAATTTTTGTTCAATCTATCCACTTTTGGTGAGGGTTCACAAAGGCTATAGAAAGATATAAAAAGTACCGTATTTTTTCGAATAGAAGACCGGGTAAAGAGTATCATCGCGTACTCCTGCGTAGCAGCCCTTTTTAAAATTTCTTTTCTGCATAAAAGCTTTCAATCAAGTGCTATAGAGTTGGAAAATGGCTCAAAAATCTGTGAGCTCATGTGGTATTTTTGGGTCATTTTCCAGCCCTATAGCACTTGATTTAAAGCTTTTATGCAAAAAAGAAATTTTAAAAAGGGCTGCTACGCAGGAGTACGCGATGATACACTTTACCCGGTCTTCTATTCGAAGAAATACGGTAGATAGATTTGGATACAAAACTAGAGAGATTACGGTAACTTTTCCCCAAAGTTGGCACTTTTTAGAAAATCGATAGGTTAGAGAAATATGTAAACTCGTGCAAACTCTCAAAACTCACTTAGTCCGATGTTTTGCTACATGCGGTATCAATCGTTCTTTACACGAGAAACCCTGTCCACAGAAATGACAATGAAAATGCGCTTTCTTCTTCAATTTGCAAAATGGTCTCGAGCAGAGGATCAACTTTTCGTGATTTATCTGAAAGATTCCTCTTTTAAATTTAAACATTCACTAGACAAAGACGCTACAAACTACAAGGTCAGACTACAAACTAGATTTTTAACGAAAACATCTGTCTGTCCTTTTTTTGTCGTTTTTGTCGTTGTCGTTAAGGTTTTTCGTGTTTTTCTCAACACCAACCCTTCGATTTTGACTATTTTGACTATCATTCGATGCAGAATAAAATTGCGTATCGAATGATACCAAAATAAACTCAAAATGTAATACCCATGCAAAGTTATGTGGCAAAAGATTAAGTCCCACCCATAATAGGCGAGGGTTTAGGTTTTAGCCAACAACTTTGCATGGATATATTACATTTTGAGTTTATTTTGGTATCATTCGATACGCAATTTTATTCTGCATCGAATGATGGTCAAAATAGTCAAAATCGAAGGGTTGGTGCTGAGAAAAACCTTAAATTGCCAACGGCAAAAAAGATCGACAGATGTTTTCGTTACAAGTCTACTACAAACCCTTGTAGAAACGCGTAGAATAGAGATTTCTCAAAACTTTTTTACCAAAAAAATCGAGCCAAGTTTAGGCTTTCGAATGACATCAAAATCAGGCCAAATCATTTTCTCTGTGTTGAGGTTTCATGTTTTTTTTCCAGGTTTGTAGTCTCATCCCATCGGACGAGACTATAAACGGCTATAAATAGCTCGAGAAATCCACCATTTCTACTTCGAGAACGGCTATAAATAGCTCGTTCTCGAAGTAGAAATGGTGGATTTTCTTGATTTTGGTGTCATTTGAAAGCCTAAAGTTGGTAAAAAAGTTTTGAAAAACTCTATTCTACCGGTTTCTACAAGAGTTTGTAGTCTGACCTTGTAGTTTATAGCGTGCATGTCTACTTACCGCCATTTTCTGCAATCTTTTGTTCGGTGAATTGTTTTCACTTTTCGAAGTTGATGGGAGTGATTGTCGTTGTCTTTCCCGAAACATTATCCACTTTTCTTTAGGCGAACATTTGTGACTCAAACAATCAGCACTGATTCGAGCTAACTGAAACGCTTTTTTTAAAAACTTTAACTTAATTTCAACACTCACTAACAATAAACAATTTGTTTATTTGAATTTTTCTAGATTTGCTTATCGGTCAATGTTAGTGAATGGATAAACTATTGGGTTGGTGAATTGAAAACTGCTGGCTATTGTCATATGTGACAGTTTGAGAATAACTTGAGGGGGAAACAAGCGAGTAATAAGGAAACCCAGTTTTGGTTTAGTTGAACAGACAAAAGAAAAAAAAAGATATTTACTGGAAAACTTGGAAGCTTCTACTTTAATAAGTGATAGAGAAGGTTTAGGAAAATGAAAATATTCTTCAATAAGAAAGTAGACTTAAATTGAACATTAAAACTAGATAACTATTGGGTTGGTGAATTGAAAACTGCCGGCTATTGTCATATGTGACAGTTTGAGCACTTTCTTCAAAAGAAACCCATTTTGGTGTCAATGGAAAAGTTGTAGAGAATCAAAAATCAAGCTTATATCCAAATTTTCAGAACGATTCAAAAACTGGTTTTCAAGAAATGCCAAATTTACGAATTTTCACAAAACTTGCATTTTAAGCGAAACTACTAAGTGTATCTTTTTGAAAATTTGGCTATAAGCCTAATTTTTGATTCTCTACAACTTTTCTATTGACACCAAAATGGGTTTCTTTTGAAGAAAGTGCTCAAACTGGTCCTCCATTTTTGTCTCCAGTCTCCAGTCCTCGATTTTTGAGTCTCACACTTGTCTCACACACAAACCAAAATCCTACTACGAAAGAGGAATCCGCAAATTGCCTGTAAAATGGGCAGAAGTCGTCAATAATAATGGAAATTATTTGGAATGAATTCATGGTTTTATGTTGAATAAATTTGAGTTCAAAGTCCCGCAATTTTCAATTCACTAACCCAATATTTAGTGTTAAAAAGAGAGATGAAAAAGATAAAGCTTTATAAAGAGCCAGGTTACGGTGGCCTTTCGTTAAATTTTTTAGAAGACCAGAAGAACATAACCCCCATGTGCCCATTTAGACGCGTTCGTCGCCCACCAGCGCCAATGTTTCTCCAATGACTCAACTCCAACTCTATTCTCAACACCCGTGGTACTCCAAAACCAAAATCCTACTACGAAAGAGGAATCCGCAAATTGCGTGTAAAATGGACAGAAGTCGTCAATAATAATGGAAATTATTGAATTATTAGTTTTATGTTGAATAAATTTTAGTTCAAAGTCCGGCAGTTTTCAATTCACCAACCCAATAATACTTAGTACATGTAGTTATTTAAATCAACTCAGTGTGCCAGAAAGCGTGTGTTTTCATGCTGAATACGAGTAAAAAAAATCAACCATTGGACACCGAACACAATGAAAATGGCTTCTCCTCTTCGACATTTCGCATCCAACTCTCGGGCAATTCGAGTCAATATGCACATAGAGAAAATTGATCAAATCGAGTTCACAAGAATGAAAGATTTCCTCGTGATTTTTAACCACAAAGTGATCATTTGACGAGAAATAGCATCTAAAGCTTTGAAGTTTTTAGAAAATTTTTTGGAAAACCGAATTTTTGGGCAATGATAATGATTGGCTCCCCGAAAGATGCAACCATTTCGATCACAATTACTCCATCCTGAGCTCATCGATGTTCCCACGACATCCACCGATATTGACTCTCTTTCCTGAATAAATAATTTTAACTTAAAGATACTGGATACGGTATAGTTAAGAATTTTCAAAGTTTTCGATTTAAATCCAGCTTTCGTAGTTGATTACTGTAATGAAACAGACAAAAAAGTTACTGGAATCTACAGTAATCTTACAACAATCCTTCTTTCTTTCTTTCTTTCTTTCTTTCTTTCTTTCTTCCTTTCCCTTGTCTTTCCTTCTTTCTCGTGGCAAGTTAAGGTACCGAATAACTCAGTGTTTAGAGCAATTGCCAAAAAAAAGCAAAAGGAAAGCAAAAGGGTCGAGGATTCAATCCCTCTCCAGAAATCTACCTTTTGCCAGTTCCTTCACTTCTTTATTACAGTAATCTTACAGTTCCAACCTCAAATTCATTTGGTGAGTCAATCGTGTTTTCGATATCGATTGGTTCCAAGAATGGTGGATCATCGCTAAATGGCTTCAGATGATTAGAACAGTCGGGTACTCACAGGGTTAGGTCAAATTTTTACTAAACTTATGGCTTCATATAATTTCTAAGTACTTTGCTACAGTATAACTGAACGTATGAGGAACTAAAGCAACTATAAAGGAACTATCAGGGAACTAAATAGGAACTATAAAGGAACTATAAAGGAACTATGAAGGAACTATGAAGGAACTATAAAAGAACTCATTAGGAACTATAAAGGAACTATAAAGGAACTTTAAAGGAACTAAATAGGAACTATAAAGGAACTATAAAATAACTCATTAGGAACTATAAAGGAGCTTTAAAGGAGCTATAAAGGAGCTTTAAAGGAACTATAAAGGACCTTTAAAGGAACTAAATAGGAACTATAAAGGAACTATAAAGGAGAGCCACAGTTAGATCTAATTTTAAGTTTTAATAGCCTCTTAACTTAATAGAATAGAAGTTTTAATAGTTTTAATAGAATGTATCAATACCAAGTAGGCTCTAAACAACTGTCAAACGTTCAAGCTATGAGTTTAGAGTCAAAAAAGATTGTTCCAATCAACCTGTAAGCCAAGATAGCTCAGGTTAAGCCAAAAAAAAACCTGTCTTTAAACCAGTCCTAAATCAACTATTGTAGATAAAGTTAAGCTTAAACTGGGACAGTTTTTATGATTTAAAAACAAAATTGAGTCTAATTCTTTCTTTACTTTTAGTCCATTAGAAGCGTTTTCTTGAAAGCGAGTCAATCCCATCTTTTAGCAAACAGCTCTTGTTTTCTAAAGCTCGACATAGCATTGTATCTTTCTAAAGCTCTTGTTTTCTAAACCTCTAAAGATACAATGCTATTTTCGAGCTTTAGAAAACAAGAGCTGTTTGCTAAAGCGGACTGACTAGCTGACTGACTGACTTCTACAAAAAAAAACCCATATATACTTTCCCACCAACCTCTCCTCCTGTAATCCATCGATACTCGAGAGTCTCTTCTTCAACTTCTCACAAATATCATCCAGTTTAGCCATCATAGATTTAGAAAATCTAGAGGAATTTCAAGATCTCGAAGTCCTCAAAACAAAAAGAGTCCACGCAGCCGATGCGCGGGGGTTTCCCCGGTGTCTCCAAGGGTGAAAATACCTCTAGATCTAGAAAAGGAGGATGTTTTTGATGGTTTTCAACTCTTCTCAGCGATCCTCTTCTTCACATTTCCATTCTTTTCCTTTTTTTCCCGTCATTCGTATTCTTTCCCGGTCGTCACCGTGGTCGCATCGCATAGGGAATGATGTAAAGTCCAGAAAGAAATCCATGAACGCGTGCCCCGGCAACCGACCACTCGCCCAGGGGCTCTTTCAATCCCTTATCCCTTAAAAATTTGGTGAAAATTTGGGGAAAAACAATTTGGGGAAAAACAAATGCATCTCCCACTATAGTGAATTAATCTCAAATCTAGTACTATAAACATTTGCAAAGTTTTAGGATTACAGAGCTAGTCGATTAAACTATTAGATATTTACTATTAGATAGATAGATAGTTAACTATTAGATAGATAGTTAGTTAACTATTAATAGATAGGTATTGACTGTTAGATAGATAGTTAGTTACTATTAATAGATAGATAGTTAACTATTAATAGATAGATATTTACTATTAGTTAGATAGATAGTTAACTATTAATAGATAGGTATTGACTGTTAGATAGATAGTTAGTTAACTATTAATAGATAGGTATTTACTATTAGATAGATAGATAGTTAACTATTAATAGATAGATAGTTAACTATTAATAGATAGTTAGAAAATGAGTACCTTATCTAATAGTTAACTATCTATCTATCTAATAGATATTTACTATTAGATAGATAGATAGTTAACTATTAGATAAGGTACTCATTTTCTAACTATTAGGTGTGTGAAAAAGTAATCCACGTTTTTTATTTTTATTTTGTTTAAATAAATCGATCTAAACAATTTTTAATTTTTTGTTAACGATATATATATATCGTTTAAAAGCTTATTTTTTCCTCTTTCGAATGATATATTTATTTTGTTAAAAGGACGACAATAAACTACTTTCATTTTAGTTTGAAAATGGTATACACAAGTATCGTTATTCGGTCAAATTTGCTTTATGAGTTCAAAAATGGGTTGAAAGCTGCGGAGGCTGCACGTCGAATTCGGAATGCGTTTGGCGAAGACGCCGTTATTGATGATACAGCTAGGTTTTGGTTCCGACGATTCAAAGGTGGTAATGAAAGCCTAGAAGATGAACCACGTGGCAGTCGCCCTGAGACCTGTTCTGATGACCAAACAAGACGCTGTTTTCTCGAAAACCCTCGTTCAACCTCTTCAGAAATAGGCCTTACATTCAATTGTGATGGATCAACCGTAAGGGAACGCTTGAATGCCATGAATTTTATCAAAAAGTTGGACAAATTGATACCGCATGAACGATAAAGCGCGACCACACATCTCTTTACAGACTCGACAAAAAATCCAGAGTGTTGGATGGGAGGTTTTACCACATTCACCTTATAGTCCAGACCTTTCTCCATCTGATTTATTATTTATTTTTGTCTCTGTCTAACTTTTTGGTCAATAAACGGTTCAATTCCCAAGAAGATGTCAAAACCGAGGTTGATCTTTTCTTCGCCTCTAAGGACCAAGATGTCTTTACATGTAGAACGTTGGCAAAAGGTTGTTCTTTCGAATGGTGATTACTTCGTTGAATAAAAATTATTTTAACGAAACTTATGGTCTTTTATATTTAAACGTTAAAAACGTGGATTACTTTTTCACACACCTAATAGATAGATAGATAGATAGTTAACTATTAGATAGATAGATATTTACTATTAGATAGATAGATATTGACTGTTAGATAGATAGATAGTTACTATTAGATAAGGTACTGCTTTTCTAACTATAAGTCTCTACTAGAGCCACAAAATTGAGAGCCATTTCCAGAAGAATTTTCCGTTCATTTCATTGCCTCTTGTTCTTTAAAAGTTTTCAAATTTTAGTATTGCACAAACTACAGAAAAGTTTTAGTCTACTAGAACGATCTTTTTGCTATGAGCAGAAGCTGTTTAGAGCTGCCAGAGTACCAGAGTTACCAGCTAAACACTGTGAGCTGCTAGGTTTGCTAGAAATCCGACTTTTTCATGAGTATTGTAGAGGCACTTTGAACTCATAGTTAAGATCGTTTTCGATGAGAAATCTTACTTATGTAAAGTATGTAAGAATGAGATGAATTGCTTTTCAAATAACTTTTAATCTTAAAACTAAATAAAAAAACGTCAATAGCTCAGTGGTAGAGCTATTGCCCGGAAAGCAGAGGTCAAGCAGCGACAGAAAATTCGTTTCCCTTTGGTTTCGATTTTACAAACGAAATCAGCTGTGGATTAATGTCTGAGTAACACAAAATGACTTGTAAAAGCACCGACAGGAATTCCCTCATCAATAAACAATGAATGAGTGTGTGTGTCTGTCTGTTCGTTCACCTCATAACTCGAGATCCAGTAGGAATTTTGATCTGATTTTTTGGGACAACATGTAATCGATCCCTACGATTTGGCCTGTCAAATCAGATTTTGAAAATCTATCTAAAAAATCTATCTAAAAAAAGCAGAGGTCGAGCAGAGACGGAAAATTCGTTTCCATTTGGTTTCAATTTTACAAACGAAATCAGCTGTGGATTAATGTCTGAGTAACACAAAATGACTTGTAAAAGCACCGACAGGAATTCCCTCATCAATAAACGAATGTTCAGCAGTTAACCCACGACTCCATAATTATATTTCTCTTTGCTTTTCCCACTTCATAATCTGTTGACTGTCTTCAGCTTCGGTTTAGATTTAGGCAGTTTTTTTTCATCGTAAGTTTAGCCAGTATGGTAGCCTGTAAATAAGAGTTCCCAGAGAGTTCGATCAATCTTGCTAGGATTGATTTTAGTTTAAGCACGCATAGCAGTGGTCTGTATTTTTCTTTGCTGTGATCTGTATTTTTCAAAAATCATCAACATCACTTTGCGAGAGCAAAAACTAAACTGAATTGCTTTTCAAATAACTTTTAATCTTAAAACTAAATAAAAAAAAGCTCTACCACTGAGCTATTGACGTTTTTTTCAGTGATATAGCTTTCAGCTGAGTGGTAGAGCTTTCAGCTGAGTGGTAGAGCTTTCAGCTGAGTGGTAGAGCTTTCAGCTGAGTGGTAGAGCTTTCAGCTCAGTGGTAGAGCTTTCAGCTGAGTGGTAGAGCTTTCAGCTGAGTGGTAGAGCTTTCAGCTGAGTGGTAGAGCTTTCAGCTGAGTGGTAGAGCTTTCAGCTCAGTGGTAGAGCTTTCAGCTGAGTGGTAGAGCTTTCAGCTGAGTGGTAGAGCTTTCAGCTGAGTGGTATTGCCCGGAAAGCAGAGGTCAAGCAGCGACAGAAAATTCGTTTCCCTTTGGTTTCGATTTTACAAACGAAATCAGCTGTGGATTAATGTCTGAGTAACACAAAGTGACTTGTAAAAGCACCGACAGGAATTCACTCATCAATAAACAATGAACGAGGCGTGAGAAAAGATATCGAAAAGGAAACAAAAATTTTGATTTCATGAAATGATTCATCAAAAGAAATCAAAAGAGAAAGGGTCACTTTTTCAGCAATGAAAGAATTTCTTTCTTTTTTTCGATTACGGTATTTGGAAGTGGATGAGTGGTTTTGTGGATAAAGAGAAAAGAAAAAAAAGAAAAAAAAAAGAAACGGAAAGAATCATAAAATTTTTGATAGACTCGTGAATCAGAGATGCCATCCTCAAAAAGAGCCATCGGAATGGGTGAAGGGCCACAGTTGATGGAGAAGATCAAGAGTTTCATTCATCGTTTCGTTTTGAAATTGAAATTTTTGAAGTCAGCTTTCTACTATCATTTTATTTATTCCTTTTTTTAAAAACAAAACTTCAGACATTTCTTGATCGTTGAGAATTTGAATAGCTTTTAAACTTGTGATCTTTTCTTTGTCTTTTCTTTATCTATCTCCAAGTTGATCATTATCATTAGCTTTTCCTTTCACCAATTCTCTGACTCCTGTGTACTTTGTGCTCTAGCTAAGGTCCCTTCTCTAGCGCACTCGTTTCCTTTTCCATAATAGCTTTTAAACTTGTGATCCTTTGTCTTTCCTTTCCTTTGTCTATCTCCAAGTTGATCATTATCATTAGCTTTTCCTTTCGCCAATTTTCTGACTGTACTTTGTGCTCTAGCAAAGGCCCCTTCTCTAGCGCACTCTCGTTTTCTTTTCCACAATAGCTCTTATGTTAAGAAAACGAGTGTGCCCGCATTTGGCAGAGTACAATGCACTCGGAAGGGTTTCAGAAAGGGAAATAGTAAAGAATTGGATTCTTCTAAAGAATTGGATTCTTCTTCTTCTATTAATATAGTAAAGAAGTTATTAGTTCCCCTATTACAGCTCTTCCGCACTTGCTAAACTATCGAATCACCAAAAAAGCTCTCAACAACTTCGACTTGGGTGAAAAGATGCGCTTTCTTTTGGTGATTTTCGTTTCTCTCTTTGCCGAGACATTCGCCGAGACATTCGCCGAGTCGGACCTGTGCAATGAATGTGCGACACCTTTGTTGAAAAGTCAGATTATAGAGATTTTCGCTGAAATTTTGTGAAATTCAGAGAAATGGTACACGACTGGCCTTCCCAACTATCCATCGACGCTTGACTTCACTGACAAGTTCGTTTAGAACATTTCATTCGCCGTCATTTCGTTCGCCTCAACCCAATACTTGTGATAAATCGCTAGCAATAAGTGCACCAGAAAGGATGTGTTTTTTCCGGCACAAAGTACACACCAAAATTACAAATGCCTCAATTACGATTAGCTTCGAAAGTTTTTCCTTTACAGCTGCCTCATAGCCGGTATCTACACGAGGAGCACCTCTTGCACCACATGCTTTGAGCTATCGTTTCCTCTCGGTTCGTTACTGTAATCAATAGCTGAATATAAATATTATATAAAAGTATTTATCTATTAGAAGTTCTTTCAATTTCTCATTTTCAGACGGATCCCAGCAAATGGTGCGCGGTTGTTGGCGGAATTTCGTTCAAGGCTATGATGATCTGATCGAAGCTGGGGAGAGGTTCGGATCTCTAGATCTCTCTGTAGATCCCCTTAGAACTTCGATAAGTGTTCTGAAAAGCTAGCTAAAGTGCTACAAAATGAAATTCCTGAAAAGTAACCTGAACAAATCAAGAATTCAGATGCGAGTACTCGATTTCCACGACCGACAACAACACGCAGATCTCGCTAGGGAGCAGCGGGAAATCCACGTCAAACCCTGTGGTTGGTTCAATAGAAGAAATATCTAAATTCTAAAATCTAAATTCAAACATTACCTAAATAACTTTAGAAACTGGAAATCTTTCTTGTTCTTGTTCTTGTTTCAAATTTTCTCTAAATTTTTAGACGGTGATGCGAACGTGCAAGCCCAAAGACGAGCCTTGTAACGGAAAATTTGCGGTCTACAATCAGGGCGGCGATGTGGGACCACTTGGAGGAGCGAAAGAGCAGGTGGATTGGTTTTTCAGTTTACATTGACTGTCCTATCTAAGGCATTAGAATATCTGTAGCTGTCATTAGAGTGTAGCTCACTTGTAGAGTGTAGCTCACTTGGTAGAGTGTAGCTCACTTGTAGAGTGTTCGTCTAATAAAAGGAAGCTGCCGATTCAAATCTCAGCGCTGTTTTTAGCTGACAAAAGGGCTTAGCGAATCCTTTAAACTGCATCAGATCCTTTATTCTGCAACTACAGAATCAATCCTCTTGTGTTGCATCAAATCAGTCCAGCTACAACAAATCCCTTTCCAGGTTACTACCCAGTGCGCCCTTGGTGGTGTGCCCATCGTCGAGGCGGGGATGGGAAGAGAATGCTATTCTTGTTCGAAATACGGACAAGATGGAACATGCCATCGAAAATCGAAATCCACATGTCGATCGGGAGGTTACTGCTTGAAGATGGATGGAAAGCTCGGAAGTGAGTCGAATTGATGCTTTGGAAACAATCGGAAATTTCCTGAACAGCTTTGCTGATTGAACCTTGAAAAAGTTACTTGAGTAAGGCATAAGACCCTACGATTGGCAGCAACGGGTTACGTGTCGGTGTAGCTCATTGGTAGAGCGTTGTTTTTGCGAAAGTTTTGTTCGCGAAAGGTTGCGGGTTCGAATCCCGGCGACGACCATTATTTGTATTCCCAGCCCCAACCGATAGAAGGATCGGCGTGTTCAACTTCTAGTATCAATTTCCAGAGAACCAAGTGGTTATGCGATCGTGTGCCCCGATCAATCCTTTCGCTGACTCGAGTGGTCAGAGTCGAGATGTGTGCTTCCATGTTGATGGGAAATTCGAAATCGGTAGCATGTTCGGAATTGGAACCGATTACACGTTCGATAGTTGGTTTTGTCTTTTGATATGGCTATATCAAATTCTATATCGACTTTTTTTGTGTGCAATTAAACTAGCTTTACATTCTAGAAAGCTAAGAATGTAAGCGTTCGATGAAAGTTGACAATGAGAGAACTAATAAGAGAAATAAGAGAATTAATAAGAGAAATAAGAGAACTCTGTGAGAACTTGTTGTCAGAATTTTGTCAGACTGCTAGAAAGTTGTCAGACTGCTCAGACTGTCAGACTGCTAGAAAGTTGAATAAGTACAAATCGTTGAATAAGTACAAATCGTTGAATAAGTACTTGTTATGTTTCGGATAAGGGAAAGCGTTTGGGAATAATGTTTTTGAAGTTTTTTACAACATTTTTTACAAGCTTTTTTTACAAGCCTTTTTACAACAGTGTCAAAATTTACAGAAAAATCGTACATATGCATTTGCAAGACCGATCGTTGCAATCCGGCGCGAGCCCAATCGGTTCTCCTTGCCGGCATTCTCTCCCTTCTCGTCACAATTCGATTTTTTCTATAACTTCTTTCCTTTCCTCAATACAGTATGATTTGTGTCTGATCCTGTTCAGCTCAATCTCTCCTCTCATTCAAACTTTCTCCACACAAATCGAAACTCTTTTCCGTTTATTTCTCTCTTTTCTCCTTTTCCTCAATATCACCCTTATCGGTGATTTCGTTTCCCGTTTGCTTTCACTGTGATTTCCCCGTTTTGCTCGTCTCCTTTATTCTTCTGATTTCACTGTGATTTCCATCTCCATCTCTTCTCCACTTTTAGAGGTGCAATAAAGTTTTTTGTTTGTTTGTTTGAGCAAAGTGAATCATGAATAGGCCTTTTGGAATCAATTGAACGGAAATTGCAGAGGAAAGGGATCAGCGTGAATAGCAGAGTGATCAGCGGAGTGAATAGCACGAGTGAATAGCACAAATCACAAGTTGTTCATCATAAAAAGTCGAAAATCAATTACAAATGTTGATGAAAATCATCAGTGCTCATCAGGTAATGCCTAAAACTAAACTAAACTAAACTAAAACAGAAGACAGTCAATAGATTAAAGGTTTATGAAAGAGCGAAGAGAAAGTCCTGGACTCCATTCAAATTATCAATTTGACAAAGAAGTCTTTTCATTCCTTTTCGTTCTTCTGTCTAAAACCAACAAATGCCTTAATTGAACGACGGTTTATTTCAATAGAAAAGCTTAGCATTTCTCTAGAAAATAACATTGAAATGGATTTCAAATGTCTTCTGCTTCGATTTTTTTGGCAGTATGAAGTCGGGTAGTTTGAAGTCGGGTAGTGTATAAAAGATAGATTGTCTGTTAAAAAAGGGCGACGGCCTGATGAGACACGATTAGCCACTTTAACTAAGGAAACCTTTCTTCGTGTCAATAGATAAAAGATAGATTGTCTGGATTTTTTGACTGTCTTATGTTTGGATCTTTTTCGGAGCGTGAAGTCTACTCAAAAAAGACAGCTCGATGATGCAGTTTAGACACTTTGCGCTAAGGAAACCTTTCTTCGTGTAAGCCTATGAGATAATCGTGTAAGGCTATGAGATCTTCGTGTAAGCCTATGAGATAATCGTGAACTCGTCGTCGTTCACGGTAGTCGAAATGCGGCTCGATGAGGCCATTTGTTTGGGCTAAGAAAATCAAAATGGTGATTAGAAGCTAAGAAAAAGGAAACCTTTCTTCGTATCAATAGATAAAAGATAGAGCACAAAAAGTTTGATAGATAGCTAAATTTTCAAATCCATTTAGAAATTCAAAACTCTAGATTTATACTTCTTTTTTATCTTCGCGGCCAACCCTTTTGGAATGACTCGCTTTCTCAAAAACTAAAAGTTTTCTAATGTTTCTAGTGTTAAAAAATAAGCTTATTAGCTTCTAATCACCAAATCTCAAAAGACAAAAGATAATAGGCAATAGGTAAAAGATAATAGGGAAAAGATAATAGACAATAGACAAAAGACAATAGACAAAAGACAATAGGCAATAGGTAAAAGATAATAGACAATAGACAAAAGACAAAAGACAATAGACAAAAGACAAAAGACAATAGAAAATAGACAATAGACAAAAGACAAAAGACAATAGACAAAAAACAATAGACAAAAGACAATAGACAAAAGACAATAGACAATAGACAATAGACAGTAGACAATAGACAGTAGACATACTACTGCACATCATATCACTGCACTAAGTTTCTTCAGCTATCGACAAACAGAAATCGAACGAAAGTCAACATCCCAAGTCATACGAAGACCAAAAAGAAAATTCCAGGACATTGCATGATTCAATTCACCCATTCACCAATAATTATCATCTATTCATCCTTCGAAAAATCATTCGCAAAAGCCATCTCAAAATGTTCACCTTTCCATTTCTCAGCTCAGTTCTCAGCTCAGTTCATCACACGTCACTCAAAGACATTCTTTTCGATGATTTGCTCAATTTTATTGCCTTTGAAACGCAAAATTTCGTCTCAAGCAAACAAAGAAAAACCCCGACCATTCACACTTTGGAAAGAAACAATTTCTTTGCGATGAAATGCAATGAAATCGAAAATGATCCCATTGAGGGAAATCATCGGAAATATGAAAACTAAGGTAAGGAGTTAGATTAGAGAGGAATTAGAGGAATTCATAAGGAATTCATAAGGAATTCGACAAAAATTTGAAATTCTCATGCATTCTTGCAGTTTATTCTGTATTAGTAGCGCTTTTAGCTTTTTTGCTTTTACCTTTTTTACACTTTAGAACAAAGTTATAAGAGTTCTTTGTGCTTTAATCAAATTCTTTTACCTTTACTTGAAGTTCAAATTTAAAAAAAATCAATATCTTGCATCAATCAATCAAAGAAATCAATCAAAGAGTCAATCAAACAATCAATCAATCAATCAAACGATCAATCAATCAATCAATCAATCAATCAATCAATCAAACAATCAATCAATCAATCAAACAATCAATCAAACAATCAATCAATCAATCAAACAATCAATCAAACAATCAATCAAACAATCAATCAATCAAACAAACAATCAATCAATCAAAGAATCAATCAAACAAACAATCAATCAACCAAAGAATCAATCAATCAAAGAATCAATCAATCAATCAATCAAACAATCAATCAATCAATCAATAAAGATCAAATCAATCAGAAACTTGTAATGTAAGTGAGCAAAGAAATCAACAAAAGCAAAAAGATTTCAACGCGAACATTGGCTGAGTGATTGCAAGAGTCACGATCGTTGCAGAAGCAGACGTCAGCTGGAAATGCTCTTTCATTCATCGTAGTTTCAAAGGACAATGCCAAACATAAAGGTTACCCCAAAAGTTGCTATAATAAAGTCAAATCTTCTTGTTTTACTTGCTAAAATTGCAAGTCTCATTTGAAAGTTCTGCTTTCTGCACGATCGTAAAGAAGTGATCGTTGCAGAAACAGACGCCAGGTCTCAACATTGCAAGTCTCAACATTGCAAGTCTTATTTGAAAGTTGTTTTCTTAAACCTTCGCACATTATCTACCATCAAACTCCTGTTTTGTCGGCTCTAGTCCAAAATTCGCGTTGTTTCCGATTTGCGATTTGATCCGTGTGCAATAAGATCCCGTTTTCGGGTATGGCGAAATTTGAGCACAACCCCGCACGTCGATTTGATTGCCTAAACTCGATTTGATTGTCAAATGTGTGTCTAATAGAAATAACATAAATACAGTTATATAATCAAATAAAATATACCGTAAATACTCTAATAAAAGCCCCCTATAGGCGCGTCGCGTAATCAAAGTTTCGCCTCAAACAAACGCTCATATCTTGACACCAGTACGTTTTTTTTTACTTGTTTTAATATCAAATTAAAGTAGAGAGAATGGGTGATTTTTTTGACATATCACACAGATCTTTAACACTAACCAGCGCTTAGAAAAGAATGATTGAAAAGTAGCAAAAAAACAACGATTTTTCAATTAGCGGAGGGGTTAACTGCAAGTTTTTCTAGCCGCTTCGCTGTCGTGGTGGCGCAGTCGGGTATGAACTGGGTTAGAGCCCCAGACAATCGGGGTTCGACCCCGGCAAGTTTTTGACTAAAGTTTTTATTTCAAATGGCACAACTACAATATATTCGAACCAGTAAGGTAAGGTTTTCTAAAGAAGTTTTAGCTTTATTGGTAGTATTTACGGTAGTATAAAACACGGTTGCATTTACAGTATTTGGTGATCAATGTTTAAGCTCACTTCCAGCGTTTCCCTTCACTTTCACACAATATCGTCCCGTCGAACAGGTGGAGCTCGTTTTATGTGAGCACTCTCCATTGCCACTGTAGCGAGAGCACGATTTGCACGTTAACGCTAAAAGTTTGAGTAATGTTCACACAACAGTAATCTAGATGTATTTTATAATAGAAAACTGCTCGCACTTGCTGTTCGCACTTCTTTGTTACAAAAGATCGCGATCTGCTCTCGATTGCCGGCCAGTGTGCCGGGCGCATTTGGAGTGGATCCTGTGTAGAACTAGATTCGATTTTCAGATTTAACACTTTTCATGACAAGAAAACCTTCCCATTGCACGCCTCAATCCCATCTTGTTTATTCCAATCACAAAAACGAACGCTTGTCTGAAAGAAATTGGATTTAAGCAAAGAGAAATCAAAGAGAAATCAAAGAGAAATCAAAGAGAAAGCAAAAAGAAAGCAAAAAGAAAGCAAAGAGAAATCAAAGAGAAATCAAAGAGAAAGCAAAGACTTTCAAACCACAGGAGTTGTCGTTGACGTGATCCCGATGAGAGTCGTCTCATTGCCGATGCTGAACTCGCATCTAAACTTTCAAATGTCTACAAGACTCTGCCGCAAGGGTATTTCAAGGATACAGTAGCTTTTCTGACAATAACTCTTTACAATAAAAGAACAGTTGTTTGTTTAATGCTTTGTAGCCGTTGTGAATGTGAATCGTTCCACTTGGCACCGGAAATGACTTGGCTCGAGTGCTGAGATGGGGTGGTGGATATACGGGAGAAGAAAACCCTCTGGATATCTTGAAAGATGTGATTGAAGCGGATGAAGTGAGACTGGATCGATGGGCCTGAGACTGGATCGATTTCACGAGGAGGAGAGGTGGGTTGGGATTCGCTTTTGCTCAAAATTTATCCTTTTTCATCAGCCGAGCTCGTTCCCGGCAGAATTTCCGCCAGAAACTCGCTGACAGAGTGCCTAGTACATGGCTGTATTTCCGCGAAATCCACAGAAATCTTCCGGCAATCTTTTTCGATGAAATCTTTCTACTGGAAAACTTTGCTCCGCGCGTTGTCAACAGATTCGCGCGAAAATTTTCCGTTCATACGGCGCCTCTTGCTACCGTCTCCATTTTTAAAACACAAGGTATTTACGCGTTAAATATCTTATAATCGATATAATCGAATATAATCGAAATCGACGAACTGTTCGACTTCTTCGGGCGGTCTTGTCGAGACGAAGAAATCCTCGTAACATCCGCGAACAATCTGAGCCACGCCATCTAAATTGATCATTTGTTTTTTTATTTAATCATATATAAATTAAAATCTTAGATATGTGGTCACGTGCTCATCTGATTTCTATTCTCATAGGCAAAGCTCAGGTGCTATCAGTGTTAAGTTTACGAACCGAGTGGAAACGTCATCTCCATGCACAATCCACTGCAACTATTATTCGTAATTCGCTTCGGATTAGCGAATAAACATCTAAAGACAAGAGAGAGCGTGTATTTTCCGCTTTCTAAAATGTGTCAAAACTGCCGTAAACCTGTCTCAAGTTTTACCCATTCTTTGAGGATTCACGAAGGATAAATGTCCAGTTTTGATAAAAACTGGGACCAATATTAAAGCTTCAGAAGTTGACACATTTTAGAAAACGCTTTACAAGAACAGTATGCCAGACTAGAGTTAAGATTACGGTAGCTTTTGATAGTTTACGCGTTTTATTTTCAAAGATATAGCTCACGTTTCATCAAAAAACGTTTCCGAGTTAGATGTTGGATATGTTGGAAGTCCAGTAATGTGCCAGTTTGCTGAAGTTTTTTACTGATGCGAAATAGTCAAGTTTAATGAGCCAAATCGGCTTGAAGGGTTGATTGTTAACCTTTTAACATCGGAGTCGCACAAGAAGCACATTGACTTCTTTGCTCAGCAGCCGCAACTGTTCGAAGTAACAAGAATATTAACAAAAACATTGCAAATCCAACAGACGATATCAAGGAAAAAATTGCTGCAACTATTTTATAATGGATTCGAGATTTTTTTTCAATGTTTACACTGAGTAAGAAATTTCCTCCTCGAATCGTAAACTCAACCCGAATTTCTAAAGGAGGCATTGCATTTTTCTTTCCAGAACTGACTCATAAAAGTTTGCATTTTCCAGCAAGCTAACTTCCAAAACTTCAACTTTATTTAAAATTTAAATATTATTAATAAACAATAAATATAAATGAATAAATATAATTTATAAAATAATTATAAATGAATAGATAAATATAATCTCATCAATGAATAGAACCCAAAATCGAACTATAAACAGGGAAATTGGGCAAAAGGTAAAAATCAGATTCAACGTAAGTGCTAGAACGCTAGGAAATGAAAGCTCATAGTTACCACCAGCCGGAATTATTGGGAAAGACGTTAGATCCACCATCAAATCCAGCACCACCGCCTCCACGACCTCTCATCGGTCCACCTCGAAATCCGCCACCGCCTCGGCCTCTTTGGTCGTACGGACGAAAGCCTCTACCTCCACCGCCACCTAACAAGTATAAAATCAATAAAAAATTGCTATTGCCATCATAGCTGCTGCCAGCTCCATAATGTTGTATTTTAATCAGTTTTGTCATGGGAGTTTTGTTACCTCCACGGCCACGTTGAAACATGGGCCCTCCACTATTCGAGTTTCCATTATATCCACCGCGGAAGCCACCTCGGTTGAATCCGCCTCTATCTATTACAAGTTGTATGTAAAGGAGTTAAAGCCTTTAAAGATGAAAGTCTACCCTGGGCTTAATTTCAACTGAACTTTGGTGATGATAAGATTCTGAATTGTCTCAAATGCAAACTATGTACCTCCACGATTGTTCCATCCATCTCCACCGCCTCCACTGAATCCACCTCTCGGTCGTCCACGAAAAGATCCTTAAATTTTCTGACTGCAACTTGCAATACTTTTAAGACAATGAAACCTCGAGTACTCGGTGCAGAAACATGCTCGGAGACTTGATCCGACAGGATATGATCCTTTGCCGGCTCAATGGTTGCCATAAACCTAAACACAAATTGTAATTGTTCAATTTGGGTCATTTATGTCAAACCAATTCCAATTCGAAAAATTAAACTCACTTTCCAGCACAAAGTTCTCGTACTAACGATACAAGTTCAGCATCTTCTTCACTCAGCGTCTGCACACTGCTAGTATTCTGGCACGAGTGGATCAAGAGAGCCTAAAAAAGAAAAGTACGAAAGTATTTAATTCTCCAAAACCTCAATACAAGGTCGTAAAGCAACAATAGCTGCAGCATCCGCCACATTCATCCGCAGTACAATCCTAAACTGACTCTGATAAAACAATTGCATGTTTTCTTACATTTCGTCTAATCGAACAATATCTGATCCAATGCATTCCACTTTACGTGTTCCAAAAAGTAAGAGTTGTATTCCAGAAACAGCCGAGATTTCTTTACAGGCTATCACTTTTGTACGAACCTACAAAAATTTTAATAAGCTCAAATTACCGTATCGTCAGTGAAAACTTTACTTACTTTTTCGGTGAAGATCAACAATGGCGATGGTGGTTGCACCTCTTCCCCTTTCCATGGAGAAATTACTGAGCCCTTCGAGAGAAGAGCCGTCAGCTTGTTCAAGAGTATAAACCTAGATGAAATAATGGTCAGCCGTAAAAACTATTGTACCTTTCTTTTTCCACGATAGACTCCAATATTTGGATACAACGCTTGTACTAGGAGAGACAATACCAAGTCCAGATTCTATAAGTTTTTTTTAAACATCTGACAACAAAAGACTTACTAGATCGTCAGAGTTTGCGTCTATGTGTTGATCGTACATCACATCTTCTGGGTAACCGCATTGGTTGATCAAAATATCCACCATTTGTTGCTTGGCTCCACTAAAACATTAAAAAGAATAAAACAAAATTGATACAATTACCTGCACATTTTCAAAATGGCAGGGCTGACCGAGTACCGATCACAAAAATTTTGTTCACCCTGGACGCCACCGTCATTTACAGCCTCCTAAACGAATGATAAGTGAAAAGCTTTAAAGCTGAAAACGAACTCGATAAGCTTGATGTAGCCCTATCATGCAAACATGATCTGACCAGTAACGTCCAGCCAACGACCTAAAAATAAAAAAATCAATCACAAAGCCATAAATTTTGATCTAGTACTCTTTAAGACAAAGGCTAACCACATAAGGCCGTCAACTCACTTTTGTCGATGATTCAATCGACTATGCTCCTTTATGGCAAAAACCCAGGGAGCCGAAAATGAGGATGCAGCTGCTACGTCACAAAGTGCTGCTCCAACACTAAATAAATGAAATATTATCAAATAAAAATTAAATCGTCACCCCATAGCACATCCAAGAACAATAGTTCGACCCAGCACTGGTTCGATTGGTAGTCGAGCAATGATTCGTCCCAGATCCGTCAATTCGCTCTTCCTATCGAGAGCCGACAGTTCTGAATATTCCAAATACTATTAGGCCGTCCAAAAAGCCTTTTCATACTTCCGTTGAAAAATAACAAATCCACCAACTAACCTATGGTTTTCTCTAAATAAAAAGTGTTTGTTGTTCAATTTCTCGTCTTTTTAAACCAATTTGGGTCACTTTCAAGCAAAATTCAAGAGTGAAAACGTGTTTTTCGTAAGAATCTATAAAAACCTCCACTGAATCAATTTCTCTGAAAATTTCGCTATATATCAAACTTTTTGTGCTCTATCTTTTATCTATTGACACGAAGATAGGTTTCCTTAGCTAAAGTGTTTAAACCGCATCATCGAGCCGTTGCCCTTCTTGACTACCCAACATCACACTCCCAAAAAAATTTAGACATAAGACATTTGGAACCCATTACAATATTATTTTCTAGAAAAATAATTAGTCTTCCTAATGAAACAAATCGTAGTCCAATTGGTGAATTTGTTGGTTTTAAACGGAAGTACGAAAAGAAACGAAAAGACTTTCTGGGCAGCCTAATAATTGTCAAATCTCATAGGCTTACCTCGTAAAATAACTTCTGCTTCAATCACCGTATCCACGGGTGGCGGCTCGATTGCTTTGGCCAAGAAATCGCCAATAGATCCAAGGTTTAATAACTAAAGATCTACAAATGTCTAAACAAAAAAATTACAGTACCTTTATCGTCAAAGCAATCTCATGCAAGGGCGTTCGCAACAATTCGGCCATTCGGTGCTCTTCCAATCTGAACATTCAAGTTTCTTTCCACCGATCAACAAAGGTCCGCTTCGTAGGTCGTATACTGAGTATTTGAAGGAACTTTTAGTATTATTAAACATTTAAACAGATATTTGTAAGTGTCCTATGTTTTCGTGCTTCAGCGGCTATCAGGTAGACGACTTTAAAGGATGTCGCCATTTAAAAATTTGCATTTTGTCGAAATCCGCCAAAATTTGCATTTAACGATCAAATAAAAGAAACGCTTTCTAGGGACAAATCATCAGTTGACCAATCTCTACACATCGCAACTTCGTCCATCATGGGAGACAAGTCGGCCTACATGGGAGTTGGAGCCTATTGCGGAGCATCGACTGCCGGAAATGGATATGCTCGGTAAGTCCTTTTGACTTGTTGTTACTTTATTTCATTTTGGTTCACTTTATTGTTATTAGGCCCTTTATTTTCATTCGTTATTCCTTTTTGGTAATATTTTTCATTTTTAGCGAGGAGTACGCATACGGTGGTGCCGCTGAAGGAGGACAACAGCAATCGGGCGGTGGTGGCAGTGAACAACAAAAGCAAAAGCAACAGCTTCCCCCCGGAGTGACCAAGCCCCGCACTGACATTTCCTGCTACATGGGACCCAACTAGAGGGGAAAATCATCGCATCACTCAACAAGCCCCGCTCTTCTTCAAAAGAATGCCCACAAATTTTCATGTGCTGCCTGAATAAACCGCTTTGTGTGTTACCTAATGAGAAATACATAATAAAAAGAGAGACATACAATTACAAAGTTAATTAATCATGTTATCGTGAAACTTACGCTTGATATCGTGCCTTGCTACACAAAGAAAATGCAAATCCTTCTCGCACTCGTCCAGCTCGTCCTCGCCTAAATAAAATGTACACGTTTTACTTTGTTTTTTAATAATCTCAGCGAGTTGCTTAAACTGACCTCTGCGCCAAATTAGTCTTTGAAGCCCAAACGGTTGCAAAGTGAACCATGTTGTTGTGAGAAGTGTACATTTTTTCTCGGACTCTGAAATTGAAAAATAGCGCAGGATGAAAACAGAACTTTTCGAGTGCTTACTTGCAGGAGTCTATGACAAAAACGACATCATCAATAGTTACACTTGTCTCCGCAATATTCGTAGAGATTATAATCTAAAGTTAACCACACAAATATAACTTTTTAAGCGCTGTGATGCCTTTCTTTTTGATCCATAGTGCCCAAAGACTTTGCGCTGTTCCATAGACGATAATTGTGAATGTAATGGCAAGATTACGTACGCATTCGTATTTCCTAAACAACAATAAATTGAAGAAACTCGTTCGAAACTACCAAATGTCGAGTTCTTCATCAAATGCTGCATCAATGCTTGAATTTCATTCCAACCAGGTAAGAAAATCAAAATAGATCCATCTACTCCTCGTAGGTCAATGTCTTTGAGAATGGCCTAAAACATACTTTAACTCGTAACCCTACTACCTGCTGAAACGCATGCTATTAAAAAAATCTAGAATTAAAGAGTTAGGCAAGTTCTCTGCCAAATATTCACCTCTCACTAGCGTAGTTCATCGTACAATTAGGGACCGAGCCAAGGGATCAACCTTTAAATTTGTCTGTTCAATTAACACATTTCAAATGATGTTCCAATTGTTGTCAAGAATCAAGCAGTTCCGCCTTCGAGCATGCTTCTCAATGAAGGAACTTTTGTTTAGCTCGATGTCTAGATTGCGATTCACATTGAACAGACAAATTAAGGCGTGCGTCCCTTGATCAGCCCGGTATTAAAAAATAACCTATATTTGGCTTGAACTTCGTTGGTTTTAAGGATGTTTTCTTGCAAAGTTTTGGCAAATGAGCAACCTCAATGACATCAAATGGTATCTCGCGTTCATTCAAATTACGCATTGCTTCTCGAACCATCGGGGACGTGTCAGGTGGTAGATCCATCAATAGGTTGCGCGCCTAAAGCATAATTTGTGATTGGAGGATTCTTTTCAAGACCTTAGTATCAGATTCGTCTGTTTCTTCGATTTCCATTTCATCATCGTTAAACTTTGAGCGCTTTTCGGGCATGAATTGCAAGTTGCGTAAGATATCTTCGATGAAAAATTCTAAAAGAAAGTTTATCAAGCAAAATCACTAACACTTGCTTACGTTGAACAGGAAATGTTCGTCCTTCCATTTCAACTATTGGACAACCACCGAAGTAAGACTAAAATAAAAAATATTAAATGGCTATTTTGAAAGTTTTACTTGAAACATCTTCGTATCAATTGTAGCCGACATTAAAATAATGCGTAGATCTTTATATTCTCTTGACATTTCGCGAAGCACAATCAGTATGAAGTCCGTCTAAACAACGAGCACTCTACTGCTGTTTTCAGAACTTACATTAATATCTCTTTCGTGAATCTCGTCGATGAAAACATGACTGATCCCACGTAGACCACTTTCCATTTTTCGCAATAAAACTCCAACTGTGCAGAACATCAGAGCGCCATATGGTCGAGGACTTATACCGTCAAATCTAATTTAACATTGGCTAAAGAACATGAATCACAGTCACCTCACACTATAACCGACAGAGTATCCCAAATCTTCGCCACGCTCGACCGCAACTCGTTCTGCAAGTGAAATAGCAGAGATCCTAAATGCATTGATTCATGAAATGAGTAGAATTAATTACCGTCTTGGTTGCGACACAAAAGCTGCAAACTCAGCTCCTCTGCCTTGTTGAATATAGTGTTCCAGTAGATATTGAGCGACCTAAGCGATCTCAATGATAACCTCGAATATTAAATCAAACTTGAGTCGATTTACCGCATCCAGTCTCTCCTTTTATGAGCGTTACTTGATTGTGCTCAATTGTTTGGAGAAGCTAAAAACAACAATAAACTATTATCAGTAGAATTTTTACTTGTTGTCTGTACTTGTGGACGGGCAACTCATATCGTTTCTGCTGAACATCGGGATCAAGATGTTTGTTTTGTTCTTCTTCCGCAAGCCCGTTGCTAATATCGGCTAATGATTGCTAAATTAATTGGATTGATTAAAAGTTGCCCATTGAATACTTACAAAAGCAAGCGGGGGCGTATCGATGTTGCACGCTCTCCAGGGATTCCAATTTTGTTGTGCTGGTGCCCATGAAATACTACCACCTGGAAATGCTTCCGAGTCGGGAAATGCCGTTAGTTTAACATCAATCTAAAAGGAATAAGTCTTTAAAAACTCAATTTCTCAAAAAGTACCAAAAGATTTTGCGGCAATTCGGAAGTTGCCGACTGATCTGGCACAACAGGCTGCAGTCCACGTCGATTTACGTAATGAAGCACTCGCTCAAAAAGTGCTCTATCTTCTGGGATGTTAATCGGTTCCAACTAAAAAAATTGCTAGCTTTAAAAGGTAATTTAGGAATACATTAGTCGCCGTCCTTTTCACTCGAACTCCCGAATACTCTTTGATCAATTTCATATGGAAAAGTTGGCGTACAAGATTAACCTGAAGAATGAATAATAAAAGCCTTCGCTTCGAAACCAACTGCACATTGCGCTTCACACACTTTCTTTGTCGATCCTTGTCCACGACCGGTTACAGCTAAACAAGTATAAATAAAGAAAGCAAACACTCAACTTGCTTTTATTGAATTGCGGCAAGCGGACGTGAACCTCGCAAACGAATGTTCTGCAATGAAAAAGTTAAAACTGCTTGTAAATTTTCTAATTTACCCAGCATTTCCGCCTTCCATTTTGCGTGGATTATAAGTAACGGCCGGGAGCTTCAGTTTTGACAAAAACTCGTTGATCGCCTAAAAGAATTTAGGTCGATTTTTAGTTAGTTTTTTTCTTACTTGCTTGCTATTGTCCATTGTCCATCCACCGTGCAATTCAGCTCGAAAATCAACCGATTCGGACTAAATTTAAGATAATTTAAAACGCAAACACAGAGCAAACCTTCGCCACTTCTTCAACTTTCTGCTGAACATATTTCTCATGTTCACTGCGATTCACCGTAAAGTTGCTCTGTGTTCCATTCGAGCTTATATTGTCTAAATCAATGCATAGACAAGCAAAAGTTTTAACCCTACCGCCATAACCCATTTCGCTTCTTGATTGTATTGGAGGCGCGAAACAGCTTCCACCGGGCATAATCGGAGCACTCGTTGCTTCCAATGAAGATGCCTAAAGTAAAATAGCCAAGGTAGCTAGAACATATTACAAATTCTATAATCCTTTTTACTTACGCTGAATGACGGCAATTCATTCTGTTGGATAAGTTCTTGTCGTACCATGTAGTTGCAGAAATCCATGGCGGCATTTGTGGCCTAAATAAAATAGATTCTTTAATGAAAATAATCTTAAAAACAAACCGCATCTTTTTTGCTTTGAGAGTTTCCAAGACCGACGTAGCTGTGCCCGGTAACGCGTAGCTCGCACTTGAATCTAGAAAAAGTTTACTCAAATATTTCAGGAAGCTTATATCTAAAACGGGAATCCTCAAAGTTTTACAGCAGAACAATATAAAATTACCTTTGCACTCCATTGCGACAAATCGACGAGATGTTATAATTCGGCGTTTGACCCGTTTTCTTCTTGCTCAGCCACGTGTGAAGGAATTCCTTCGCGTTGTTGCTCATTGCAGCAACTTTTCTTACCTGGAAAATGAAAAAATAAATTTAATGACAATAAGCCTTAAAATAAAAGGAAATGTGCGGAAATTTTCAGTGAAAAACATTAAAACTGTAACGTGAAGTATTAAAGAAGTCATGAAGCACACCCGGCTTTTACACGCAAACTTTTTGACTAAAGCTACACCTTCCATGTTGTACGGTATTTTAGGAAAGCCAACTTTTTGTGCTACAATTTCCATTCGGAAGCTTAAATCATAACTAGTGTTACGTTTTCTTTTGAATCTTCACTTCAATGGCTTATTGGTAGGATAGGAGGCTACTGTAGTAAAATGCGATATCCGCAGACTAGTTTTCAAGAAAAGGCCCCGAAAAAAACTTTGGTACCGTGCGAAGAGTTCAACTTGAGCTTTTATTAGCCAGTAAAGGTTTTCTTTTCCAAAAGTTGCGAATCTTTATTAAAGCATTCAAAGCATTGACAAAAACACTACATAAATCCTAGTAGCTGAAATGCAAAATTTCAACGAAATTTTTAACACAAACAGGCATGCAAAGAATCACAAAAAACGAGGGAAACATGTAAATGCAAGAGGTACAAGATCATTGTTGGTTCGATTAATTTGGCGATGTAGTTGACAGCGGGAGATTTGCGAGAGCCGATCTAAAAATGAAAATTTGTACTTGTAAGGCCAAATAACAACTCTCAAAAACTAACCAATCATTTCTTCCGGTCCCAGCGCTTTTTATCCTTGTCAACCAGCCTTGTTGAGCGCTTTCCTTGCTAAAGAAATGAAGTGAGACTTTAAATCCTTAGAATAATACTTACAAATGATTGCGGGAAATAAAGACTTTGAATGGAGCTTGAAGGTAGAGCCGCCAAAGTTTTCTGAGCATAAATAAATTATACAACGATTGCCACTAGCTTCTATTACCTCGTCAACAATGTTCGGTGTCGTTATCGGCGATGAGATTGTCTAAAGAATACAATGAATTTCAAATACTTATACCAACACTAACTTGAGTATTTTGTGATGGCAATTGAGTAGCGGCAACAGTAGTTGTCGACTTGGGCTTTGTTAGCGGTGTGAAAGTTTTTTGCTAAAAGAGAAAAGTTCTTTCAGAAAAAAAATAAGTGTTTATACCACGTACTCGTCCTTCGATGTTTGGGCCACTGGTTCGGGAGTCTTCTAAAGACCACTAATTAAAGAGTGCTAAAAAAGAAACTCACCGTTTGCTGCGTCCGTTTTTCGATTTCAGCACGGATCTCAACTGGAAATTTAAACAATTAAACTTTTTAAGCAACCTTCTGGTATGGCGACTGATTCTTCGTTGATCCGTGAGGTTTCTAAATAGCATATTGGTGTGAAACAAAGCGTGAAATTCTTACCAAAGCTTGCGATTCGTCGGGCAGCCTTAGGACTTGCTTCGTTTCTCCCTTCTGAATAAAGGAACTTCTATAAAAAACCCAATGACAAACCTTCAGATTTTCAGCCTTCTTGTTCGAATTTACTCTGAAATTTCAAGTTAACTTTAAATATTAAAACCAGAACAGACTTTTGTGTGGCTGCTGTCGTGTCCTTCGGTTCGTCCACTTCTTCCCATTCATACGGCGTGTTTGCCTCCACGAATCCTTTCGGCAACAGTTTCTAACCGTGAAAACATTTCAAAGTCCCAGCAAAATCAAACGAACCTTTAGCAAGTCTTTCATGTTCTCGTAGTCGGGTGAATCGATGAAGTCCTCACCGTCAATCATCTTGTAGAGGTTGAGAAACGACTGCGGCATGTGCCTAAAATAAAAAAGGTTATAACACAATAAAATCTTCCCAACTTGGTTAAGTCTCCTTTGTGCCGGCGTTTCGATTGATATACCTAAAAGTTAAATGTATGAATTGATTGAAGAAGATTGAAACAAACCTGATCCTGATCCGAAAAATCCCGCCAAGGCAGTTTTCCTTCAGCCAGTTCGCACAGTGAGTAGTAGAGTGAGAGGAGATCGTCGATCGGATGCTAAAAAGAATCAAAAATTGAAACAAAAGAGTGAAAAAACTTGCGCCCGGCGCTCATGCACATTCGTAGAGACGTATCGTACGGTGCCCTTGAAAGCCGCAAATGCTCGTCTCTTGTAATCGTCTTTCTAAAACAAAATCGTATAAAAAACAGAAGAACAAACGTCAAGTTTTTTGATGCGAGCGAGTCCAAAGTCGATGAGGTGCACGATGCGCACCTTTGCACCACTCCATCCAATGCACATATTCGGCGGCTTGACGTCCCTAAAAATTGAAGAACGGTTTCATAAAAATAACAGACAATCAATGTACTCAATTTCAACGCTCACCTGTGAATGTATCCGTTTTTGTGCAGCGTCTCGAGCCCGTGAAGTCCTTGAATTCCAATGCGCAACACCGTCTCTGGCTTGAACCTAAAGAAAACATTAGATATCAGGACTAAGCTTGACTCACCGATTGTCCGCGCGCTTTTTTCGTAGTGTCGAGAGATTTTCGCCGAGTAGCTCCATCACAAAGTAGTTGATCGACATGTGGCTCAACTTCGACGAGCCGCTGGCAATCTAAAAAAGAGTATATGATTTCCAAAAAATAGAACTCCAGTAAGAATTATAAAGTGCTTACCAAGCGAGGAAAATTCGTGTGCACGGAGAGTTTCCTCAGGATTTCCTGCTCGAGGACGCTTCGTTTCCCGTCTTTTCCCTTGTCCACGATCTTGATGGCGACGGCTTCCCGGTTCTAAAAGAAACTTGTAGAAGATCAAAGCAAAAAAGTACAACAAAAGCATTACCCTTTGTTGAATGGCCTGGTAAGTTTCTCCAAACGCGCCTCTTCCGATCACCTAAACCAATAGTTTTACAATGAATGCACAATCAAGCGAATGCCACCAAAAGAAAACACTTACCTTAACAATCTCGTATTTCCTTTCAAAGAGAGATCCGCTGAGCAGCAGTTGATCGCCACCAAAGACAATATATTATTTCAAAAATAAAGAAAACACTTACGTTCGTTTTATTGGTCGTTTTATATCGGAGACGTTTCTTTTGATCTCCGATTCCATTGTCGTCTGTTTGCTGTTGATCGATGCAATTCGGTTCTAAAAGAAAATGAATTATCACCAAAACAATGCAAAACTCTAAGCATAAGCTTTAAAAAACTAACTCGTTTCAAGAAATGAAATCAAATTCATATTCCAAAGAAAAAAAATAGGCATAAATCCTAAAACAAACAAAATTCCTCACCTTTCCTCGGTCCGTCGATTTCTTTTTCCTTCGTTTGTCGCTCGGCATCGAGTCGAGTTTTTTTTTTCTCTAAATGATTTTCCGAGCAGGGAATTTCCCTTAGAAGAGACGGCTGAATGAAAACTTGTCAGCTTAAAATGGAAATTAATATTCCTGATAGTTTGGCGGGGCCGCGCGAACGCAGCCCCTCACGCAAAAATTTAGCTGTTAGCGAACCCCAACTCGGAGCTGCCACACGGGTCAAAACAGTCAAAAAGTGCAATGACCGCATCTCACCATGGGGGTTCCGTCTTTGTGATCACGAAAGCCCCCCAGCCAGGTAAGTTTATGAGGGGCCCGAGGGAGGGGGTTAACCGAAAGACGTGCGCCAGATCGAGAGCGATTACGCGGCCGTATAAAGAATACTTGGATAGTACAAAGTACACGGGTGGGAAGGCTTGTTGCCACGGGCATTTCTTTGGAAAATTGTTCAAGGTTATTAGGGTTACTGTAACTATTTTTAAGGTGAAATGTGTATTATTTTCCACAAATCCCCTTTCTGGTTATCTTAACTACTCTTTTAACGCAAATTTGATGCACGTTTTTCAAACAAGATAAACTTTTTTGCATTTTGTTTTCTTCAAAATCTCAAAGACTTGTGCAGCTGGATGATTTCGCGAAAGAAAAAGCCGGGAGATCAGATGGGATGAGGGGAAAAGCTGAGCCTCTGATTGGGGGCTCCTCTCCTCCTCAAAACTGATTTCGTTAGAGAGAATGGACCTCTTCGTCGACCCTGAAATGAAATGGGAAAAAAAAGAGAATAGATAGAGTTCGAGGCTCGCTACTTTTTTCGTTTTCACACCCCACACTTCCTGACTTGTCAACACTATTACATACTATTTTTGAATCGTATATTGTTGTGACTTTGACAAATCGTCGATCAATCTTTAAAGGAGTTTTTGAAGAGTTTTCAAATAAACTATCGCTCTGTTTAGTATCCGTTACTGGTACTCGTTTATTTACCCACCCCCGTGTACTTACAGAAAGCTTACCGTATTTTCTCTAATAGGTGCACCATAGCGTTGCCTAAATTGCTCGAAATCTCGAGAACCGCTTATCAGAACCTATCGATGTGGGGTCGAAAAATGTAGCTGATGATGAGATCTAGTGAGGGATTTGAGTGTTGAGCTTCTGAGAAAGCTAGGGAACTGTAAAATAGTCACCAACTCGGCTCGCCGGGGTGCACTACTATTAGAGAAAATACGGTATACATCATCAAAACATCAATCTTTACCGTAATCTTGACTCCAATTTCTATCATTATTTTTAAGTTATTAAACAAAATATTATTATACAAAACTTCAAACTTGTTTTTCTCTAAACAAAGTCCAGCGTCAAAGATTCAGAAAAAGGAGTTGAATGTCGTCAGGGAGCGGGCGGGGAGTGCCCTGTCGAGTCCAATAACTCATCCCTTTTTCCACCTCTTTTCCTCATTCGGCTCAATACGACCTACTCACTTTTATCTCTCTGTCAACCTTTTTCTTTATTGAATTTACTTTTTCTAGTGTTTGGTTGCAATCTTTAGAAGATTTTGAGGGTTTTGTTTGTTGGATTTGAAAGCGTTTGAGCTTGATAGCCTGAGGCACTTGTAACGCACAAATTAGCATTTTGTTCATCTTCTAGCCAAAATCTGGCTTTTGTTTTACCTAAAGCTGAAGCGCTAAACAGTTCCAGGCATCCATTTTTACTGTACTTTTAGACATATCATATTCATAAGGGAAGTTCAACTGGATAGGCTGTCCAAATGATATCAACCATAGACCATTCGACACAGAATTTCGCACTGAGCACGATACTGCTTTCCGTTTTTGCGAAATGGCACTCTGTCAAAAGTTATACGCGTTTTGTAAGGAGTTTCAAAAATTAAGCATAGACCTTAAAACACCCGGACATTTGCGCACCTTTTTTTCCGCACCTTGCCCATTAGCGCACCTTTTTTCGCGTTTTAAAAAAGCTCTAAAAGCTAATATTAACCAATTTCTATTCCAAAAGTTGTTTTTCTAGGTAATTTGAGGGTGTCGAATTCAAATTTTGACATAACAGAGCGTGTGGAACCAATTTGAAAGACCAATTTGAAAGACAAAACGGCTAGATCAAATTACAGAAAATTGTCGATTTTTCTCTTTGTATAACTCCGTCCCGTTTGTTTCCACAAGCTCTGATATGTCAAAATTTCGATTCTACGCCCTAAAATTACCTAGAAAAACAACTTTTGGAATAGAAATTGGTTAATATTAGCTTTTAGAGCTTTTTTAAAACGCGAAAAAAGGTGCGCTAATGGGCAAGGTGCGGAAAAAAGGTGCGCAAAAAAAAAGGTCGCATTTGTCCCACTCCCCAGGTTTTTCAAAAAACATTTTTTACATTGGGAGGGAATTTGCCACCAAATCAGTTAAACGGCTGAGTATCTTTAAAAAGTGCCGTATATAATGCGGAGCTCGTCATTTTTGCGTCATTTTTTTTGCAATAATTTTTGCTAAAAGTACGGTGATTTTTCCCCAAGTGTGCGTTTTAAAAAACGCATTACTCGCGAGGAACACACTCTATTCATTAATATCTTGATACATGGTTATGTACAGAATTCAATTTAAATTAACAATCGTTTCAAATTTTCAAAGCAAACAAGTACAGTAAGTTCAAAGCAAACAAGTACAACAAACAAGTACAACAAACAAGTACAACAAACAAGTACAGTTTTACTGTATAACTACTGTTTTAGAATCTTTACGATCAGATTTACGATAAGATGTCAGTTGAAATGAAATCTTATCGTTTTCTCTTGACTAAATATGAGGTTATACAAAGTCTTGAATTTACATTTAACAGTGATTTCAAGTTTTCAAGTTAAACAAGTGCAGGACTTCTTGAATAAGTGTTCAAATAATGAAAAAAGATTCAAGAGTCCCTTCCCATTTTCGAACTCTTAATCAATTTTCTTCAAAAGTTTCCTTTTACTCATTAGTGATTCCAAAATTTCACGAAATCTATTTAAAGAGCGCAGAATTTTCGAGCAATTCCTTTCACTTCTCAATCCCGCAGATCAAAATTTCTTCATTAAAACAAAAATTTATTTCTTTTTGTTCTTAAAACCAAACAAAGACGGCTTATTTTCAAGCGAAATTTCAAATTTCCCAAATTTTCCAAAATTTCATTAATATTTAAAGAGTGGCCTTGTTTTTACGAGATCCATTTCGGGGAATTCGTCGCGTTCCATTCGAATTGTTATGATCAATTTTTTTTTTGCCATATTTTGTCATATTTTGCCATTTACCGTATTTTATCTGGCGAAAAATCCATCAGCTTCAAGAAAATCCAAATTTTAGTTAAAAGCTTTCCTTTAGTTTATCCAGTTCATTGTTTTGATTGATCCAATTCAAAGTTGAAATTGTAAAATAAACCCCAGGGGTTTGGGTGATTAGATTTTGCATCTCCATTGACATCTCCATTGAATCAGCAAAACAAATTATTCAATTATCGCCCAGATGGGGTTCGGAAGTGTTCTTTTTCACTGTACATTGTAGTCAATGATCAATGCTTTTTTTTTGTTTAAAAGATTTAGATCCAACCTTTCAATGTACCTTTTTTTTGTACCTACTTGCTCCTGTCGACTGTTTACTTAAATGTGCCAACTTTTAAAAACTATTGTAATATTAGCTCTAGTTTTTTTAATCTAATTTATCAACTTTTGCATGTTTCGGTATTCTTTGTGAACCCAGAAGCAGACCAAAAATAGATAAATTAGATAAAAAAGAAGTACCGTACTTTCTCTAATAGTAGTGCACCCAGAGCGTTGCCTAAATTCCTTGAAATCTCGAAAGGCGCTTATCAGAACCTATCGATGTGGGGTCGGAAAATGTAGCTGACGATGAGATCTAGTGGAGGATTTGAGTGTTGAGCTTCTGGGAAAGATTGGAAACCGTAAAATAGTCGTCAACTCGGCTCGGCCAAGCGGAGGGGGAGAGGGCAATACTATTAGAGAAAATAAAGAATACCGTATTTTCTCTAATAGTAGTGCACCCAGAGCGTTGCCTAAATTCCTTGAAATCTCGAGAAGCGCTTATCAGAACCTATCGATGTGGGGTCGGAAAATGTAGCTAACGATGAGATCTAGTGGGAGGTTTGAGTGTTGAGCTTCTGGGAAAGATTGGGAACCGTAAAATAATCGTCAACTCAGCTCGCCAGGGTGCACTACTATTAGAGAAAATAAGGTATATTACGATAATTTTAAAACTTAGCACATTTTAGAAATATAAATTAATTGAATTGAAAGAGATACACTTTGCCAGATCACTTGCGCTTATCCTTGTAGATTAAACTTTGATTGTACTAAGATTTACCGTATTTTAGTTACCATATGTTCTACTTTAAAAGTTGTTACGGATATGTTTGAAAGTTTGCCACTTTTCTTTTCTTATTTAACATTCAATGTGCATCTTTTCTCTAAGAAGAGCTCAAAGTTCAAAATATCTTTTGAGTTTTGAGTGAAATCTACGTGCAACAAAAAGCTAAAGCTAAAGAGAGACAAAACGAGCTGGGATCCGATTTGTGAACAATCGACCCCGGGATTCTCCCAGCTCCTAAAAAGAAGCTGAAACCCTTTTTCGTTGGTGACTTCTCCTCTGGATGAGCTGCGGACGAATGAGTTGAGAAAAGGATGATGAGAGAAAAGAAAAGAGGCCAATCTTCTGCAAGTGACCACTCTCATCGACCCAAAAACCCTTTTGAATTAGATCTTTGTTTTTTGAAAGCGATGACGCTTTCAACATTTTCTTTGAATTCTTAGAAAGAGATTTTGAGACATTTTGTTTCTTTTTCATATACTTCACTTGTCGATTTAGATCTGTTGTCCTAGAAGAAGCCATTCCTAAACAAAGATTTGGTTTAATATTGGATTGGTGAATTGACTGCGGTCGATTAGAATTGATTGAAAAAGTGATGGAAAATTGAAAAGTCCATTAGAAACTGAAAAACAGCTTCTAATGGACATTTTGCAACTCATTATGATTAAATTG